GGTACTCCTGTCCGCTCTCAGCTGGTGTTCTGCATGCACGTCTGTGTCTGAAGGTGTATTCCTGATGTATCTGTGGAGAGAGATATACTCCACGTCCACCTACTCCTCCTAAGTCAGGGGTCTGAACCTCCCAGGGGGTCAGGATGCACTGCGGGGGTCTCTCCCAGAGACACTGGTTCTTGGTGCCCCAGGTTGAGTCTATGAAGTCGAGTTTAAATCAACCAGCTTTGGGAACCTTGGCCCCTTGCTGTTGTCATTCCAAGTTTTGTTGTTTTTTTTTTTTTTTAGCTTTTTATTTTGAAAGAATTTTAAGACTTAACAAAAAAGTTACGCTTACTTCAAAAGTGATCTCAGAGAGTTGCCTTCTATCCTTCACCCAGCTCCCCCCAGTGTTAACACTCTGCACACTGTAGGATAATGTGTCAAAAAATTAACTATTAACTCAGCTGCAGTCTTGACTCAGATTTCACCAGTTTCCCACTAGTGCCCTTTTCTGATCCATGATCCTACTTTGAGTTCCACGTTGGCTTGTCATCATGTCTTCTCAAGCCTTCTCTGATCTGTGGCAGACATTCGTGACCCTGACACTTTCGAAAAGTACTGGCCAGTTATTTGGTAGAAAGCTGTCAATTTAGGAAACTTGTTTTTAATGGACAGGATTTTGTGTGAAAAAAAGATGGAGGGCAAAAAGTAAGGAAATTAACCTAAAAGGTTAAATAACTGACATTGACCAAAAAAAAAAAAAAAAAGCCAAAACCCACAAAAATCCCACAGAATGTCTAGCATTGAATTACTAAGAATGACACACAGCTCCTGGTATTTAAGTCCAAAGGGGCAGGACTGGACCCATCATTTTTCTCCCTCAGCAGACAGGTCCCTCCAGGAACAAGGGCTGCATAAACGAACAGTTCTGATAGCAGCTGCGCCAGTTACTTCCCAATGCCAAGACGCAAACATGTAGGACATCTTCAAGCTCTGATGTGAATTCCTGTCATCCTAGACATGCTGTTCTCAGGATACTCATCAGAACAGTGTTTAGGATCTTGGGGATTACAAACAACAACAACAACTAATTTCCAGATCACTTGGCATTATATGACAAGAAATGGAAAAAAAAAATCTGTCAGTGATTCAGAGGTGAAAGAGCACACATGTGGCTTTTTGTCACATGGAAGCAAAACTCGGTCCGTTTGCCATCAGAATGAAAGATGGCCGGTGCGTGGGCTGCCAGGCTTGTCAGGGCACAGCTGTCTCCAGGGTGGGCTCTGGTTCGAACGTCTGGGCCCGAATCCTTCTCTCCCTCTCTCCGTGTGCGCAGGGGCCAGGGTCTCTGTCTCTCCTTGCCGCTGTTGCTCGTGCCCTGTCCTCATCTCATAGGGTTTCCACACAATTGGGATGAAATAATCCATGGTAGTGCTCAGGAAACGGCAACCACAATCGTCATTCTTCTCAGATTCAACTTAACAGAGAGTCACCTGGGAGCACTTTAGAGGATTAAACAGGATTTTTTTTTCAATTCAAGGGTTGCGGGGGGAGGCGGGGAAGAAAAGAGAAAACAAACTTAGGATTTTTCCATGAGCCCCAGACCCCCCTGTGCTGCATGTTGACCGCAGAGGTGCCCTGGATCGGATCCCAGGGCTGGCGTTCTGGGAGCTGTCACAAGTGCCTGGGGCGTCGAGTGGCTGCTGGTGCCGGCAGAGTGACCCAGGCCGTCTATGGAAGGGCTGCGGGGCAGACAAGGATAAACATTTCCACGGTCTGTTCTCTGTTAAGCAGCTGCGGGGAGGGGAGGCAGTCGCATGTGACAGGCCGGGGAGCTCCGAGGCAGCCGGAGCGTTCAAGCAGGCAGGAGGAGGGGGGGCAGTGGAAAGGGGCCCAGACGTTATCTTATCAGATGGAAGCCAGCCCCCCCACTCCCCCGCCTTCCTCCTCGCTCGCCAGCACTTGAGACGTGCTATTTGAGAATGCCCTGTTTGATGGGAGGCTAGTTTCTGCTGTGTGAGTCCCATATTCTGCTGATCCCCTCCTTCACATACGTCCCCAGCCCTGCTTTGCTTTCTGGAAATTTTCTGTGTGAGAGTCACCCCCTGTGCCCTTCCCCTCACTCCACGTCCCCATCAGCTCCTGGCCTCCTTGAGATGACACTTGACTCGAGGTGGAGGCTCCTGTAACCTCTGTTGAATGAATGAGTGAACTTGACGAGCAGGCAGACAGACTCTGTAAGGGTCCTCTCCCTGTAGGACTTGAATTGGGGTACCAAGCTGATTTCAGTTACCTGCATTTCACATCTACTTTCCACTGGTAAGGTGAATTAACTTTGAGTTTTTTAGCAAAGTGTTCAAATTCTTAAGGTCCTCTTCAGGGTTAATATATTTCTGGGAGAATTTATCTGAATTGTCAGGAAGGCCTACAGAAAGTAGGATTCCATAAATGGGGCAAATTTTTCTTTGAATCCCTACCTTTCAGGGACTCATCTGGCAAGCAGAGGGACATTTACTTACACTGGCTTTTTGCCACAGCAGAGAAAAACCTGGGCTGGAGGGATCTCAGGGGTCTGTGGCATTAAAACATGGGAGTAGACAATGAGGTTGAGGGCAGCAAGGCTGGTACAGCACCATTAAGCTTTATTCTGTTCTCTGGGCTGCTCCCGGATCAGCTGGCTCAAGGCCCATATCTATTAGGAGAGTATAGCCTGTTCTGTAAGGTGCCAGGGTCCTTACTCAAATATTTACATGAACTGAGCACTCTAATTATAGGGCTAACATGTGAACAGAGGTGAGAGAGGCCTCTTTCAATGCCCACCAGCTCGTGTGGTCACTGGGCCAAGTGTGTAATCCACGAGGGTGCAGAGCTGTGCAGAGCAGTGGTCACTAGTCGTGCCCCCTCCTGTTACCAAGGAAACGTGAGATGCCCTCATAGTGCAGTGTGGACTTCTTCAGGCAGAAGCTTGTATCTTGGATAAGAGGTCTCAGCCATCCTTGTCAAGAATAAGAAATATTTCATCTTGTTTTCTGCCACTAAAATTATTATCTTTCTTTAACAAAGCCCTTGTAGGAGTGTTTAAAGAACATAAAGGGTATTACAAACTAGTATTTTTATTGCTGCCCCATAGAACAAATTCCATTACTCAGTTACATGCAGTCTGCCTCCAGCCAAGGCTCCGGAGCCAAGCATTTTGTCTGGATGAGTTAGATACTCAGTCTGGAGCCCAGGACGTCTGGGCTTGGGGGAGGGTGAGCTGGTGGAGGAGCAGCTGTGGCCAGGGGCCTCTGGGGCCCTGCTGGGCTTGGAAATGCAGTAGTGTGTGCGGTGGCCTGATCTGAGGGTACCCTTCACTGCAGAACTTTGTGCTGCTATTAAAAACCCTAAGTGTATCCATTCTTTGAGTTAAAGAGCTGAGCAAACAATAGGTTCTCCATGAAGTATCTGTTGACTGACTGATGGATTAGGTGTTGGCCCCTGTCCAAAGTAAGACTTCCCTGGTGGCTCAGATGGTAAAGAATCTGCTTGCAGTTCAGGAGACCCAGGTTCGATCCCTGGGTGGGGAAGGTCCCCCTGGAGAAGGGAATGCTCATGCACTCCAGTATTCTTGCCTGGAGAATCCCATGGATAGAGGAGCCTGGTGGGCTACAGTTCATGGTGTCGCAAAGAGTTGGACACAACTTAGCGACTAAACACTTTCCCTTTCCTGTCCAGAGTGCTGATTCCTGGGAGAGAAAAAAGTGTTCATTAGTAGGTATTAGCTGCTCTTTGTTCTACCAGAGAGAGACCTGACTCTTTCAGGTCCTTTGTCCACGGGCTAAGTGGGCTTTTGCCCAGGGAGGCATTGATATGGGAGTTGTCTGCAGACACTCGAGGTGGGGACCTCGCCTCTGTGGAGGCCTCAGAGAACATAGGCCCCCTTGTCGTAGAGGGAATGTGGGGAATTAGATCTGGCAAGGAAAGTGGGGAAACAATAAGGGTGAGCTTTACTTTCTCTGCATTCTGATCAAAGGCCTTCCCTAGTGATCTCAGGGACTCTAGCTGATTGATGATTTAGAGTAGATGGTAGATCTATGACACATCGCTTCTGAAAATAGAACAGATATCCCAAACTCAGTATGACTTCCATACAGAGTAGGCCAAATACAATTTATCAATTCAGGAAAATGTAATTAGGAAACCTTTCAAATGAAAAGACCAGTCTTGGAAGGGCCAGCTGCCTCATCCTTCAGCCTTATCCAGCCTCTATTTTGACATTGAAACTGATCACACTAAACAATGGAAAAGCCATAATGTCAGGCAAACATAAGCCAATTCTCAGTCGGTTAAGTATGAGTGTTCCTCTGACCGCCAGTTGTTAACCTCAGGGCGGGAGGTCACTGGGCCTTCTTGAGCCGTGTGTGTCTCACAGAGACCATCCAGCAAGTCCACTCAGAGGTTTGGCCGTTTTCTCAGTGGTTCTCCTCTGTAGAGGCTCTTTGATGAGTTGAAACCGAGACCACAGCGCTCTTGGGGGGCTCATCCTGACGACTCCCCCTGTGTGCCAGGTTCTGCTAACACCTTGCTGGGGGCCCTCTGCAGAGGTTCGTCCCTGCAGATTTGCGGGATCATCTCACCTCACTTGCATCCGCGGAACGTGTGTTTTCCTGTACTCTGGAATTCCTTACCAGCTCTGATCTGCTCCTTGTGCTGGGAAAGGCTGCACTCTCAGCAGGCCACCTGCGTCTTATAGTTCGCACCCTTTCTCAGACAGCTCTTGAGGGTGGGCCTCTCTCTGCCCCACCCCACCACGCGGTCCCCTCTCTGCCTGACTCTCCAGGGTGGTGCCTGGGCCGTCTCCAGGGCAGCCTCTGGCAGCCCCTAGATTTTTTTCCTGCCCTGAAAACAGCCAGTCAGCCGGGGCTCTTCAGCAGGGGTAGGGTGGGGCCGGGGGTCGTGAGCGCTGTGACTGCTCGGGGAAGGGGCCTGGCTGCTAACCCTGCCCTCTCTTCTCGCCCCTTCGTCTCTGGCCCCGGCAGTGCGGAGGACCCTGAAGAGCGGCCTGACTCCGGAAGAAGCGCGGGCGCTGGGCCTGGTGGGCACCTCGGAGCTGCAGCTGTGACCCCCACGGTGCCCTCAGAAGCCTGTCTGCACCGAGTGCGAGCTCCTGCTGGGGGGGAGCCCCTCCGGTGGGAGGTGCGGAGACTCTGACGCCTGAAGCTTCTGAAGGGGGGGCGCGCGTGTCTAGATGTCACTGCCCGGCTTGTGACACCGACCCCGGCGTCCTCTTCCTGTTCTTTCTTCATCGTGTCCGCTGTGTGTCTCTTTTTTTCCTTGGCACCTGGCTTAGTAGTTCCAAAGCGTGACACCTTTTCTGTGCCAGGAGCAGCCCCTTTTCAGGAGCAGGGCACTTCCGTCACAGTTACCATGGTCATGATGCAGTTTGGTTAGGTTCACAGACTGGGTCCCTCCACAACACCAAGACATGCAGATGTCCACTCCAAAACTGTACACAGAAGAAAGCACAGATTGTTTACTGGTTGTGGATTTTAGATGTATTATTAATAAATGTTTATACAAATTCATAAATGTACACCCTGTTTCAAATACTAAATAAACAGAGTTTAATGCCGTAACTGGAAACCTTTATTCTCCTGTGTAGAACCTTAAATAGCTCCATAGGCTCAGCTCCTTCTGGATCCACGAAACCTCTTCTCAGGTTCGTGAGAAGGACTCTGGCTCCGTATGGCCTCCAAGCCCTTTGGATTTCCTTTTGTTTATTAATTGAGTGAGAAACGCTGATGTGTGCTCTTTGTAACTCCAGAATAATTAGGCACGGTCTTCCTGGCAGTACAAGTTAGCAATAACCTCCCATGTATCACCTTACCCGCATGCTTTGTTTTTGCTCCTTTGTGATGCTGAAGGAAAAACTAGCGTTTAAAAAATCTAAATTCTGCAACTCACTCACAGGCCTCTGATGTAAAAATTCATTTTCTCAAAGAATTTACTAAGTCACCAAAAGAAAAATGAAAAGTTGAAGCTTTGTCTGCAGAAAACTTCAGAATGAGAAGTACTGTCCTTGGCACTCAAGCACAGCCATCAGAAGCTCAGGCGTCTAGAGGGGAAGATGCTTGAGGTGCTTTCAACCACAGAGCCAGTCTGAGGGGCCTGAAGAACCTCCACCTCCGAAAACAGGGGACGGTCAACAATTGCCGTTGCTCAGTCACGTCAGACTCTTTGCAACCCCATGAACTGTAGCCCACCAGGCTCCTCTGTCTATGGGATTCTCCAGGCAAGAATACTGAAGGGGGTTGCCATTCCCTTTTCCAGGGGATCTTCCCAACCCAGGGATTACACCCAGGTCTCCCACACTGCAGGCAGATTCTTTACCATCTGAGCCACCAGGGAAGCACAGTATTCACGGGATGGTGTCAAAAGATGGTGAGGTCACCAGTTCTATCAGTGTCTCACCTCCAGAACCTCTGTGACCCTGTGTTCCTGAATCTGAGAAGGTGTCATGTAGAGACAGGATGCAGTCATGTGGTCTGAAGCGCTGAAGATAATATATTCACCCCACTGGCCTTTGTGACTGTGCCCAGCGCCCCCCCCCAACCTTCTGCATCTCCACTCTCTGGGAGACAGGGAGCTCTTTCAAACAGGCATTTGTCAAATAATACGTGAGTACCCCAGAGAGCCTAGAACCTGCAAAAGTTAGGTCTGTGTATTCCAGACGGCTGAGTTTATTTAATCACTTTATTGAAAAGGGTGCATAGGGTATTAATGTTTATTTCCTTATGGTTCCAAATAACATGTATTATATTCCACATGTGGTTTAATGGTTTGTCAAAGCCTCAGCCTGGAATATGAACATGGAATTTCTGTATCACTGGGGATCGTGATGGGCAAAGAAATGGAAGATGAATTTTTTTCCTACGGATTTCATGAACAAATATTTTGATGCCCTTCCAGGGGTCCCTGGTGTTCTGCTGAGAGTTCCTGCTGTAGAATAAAAGGTCACATTTGGAAAGAAGTGACTGAATAAATCTAATGTTAATTTTAATTTTATTTTAATGGATTAAAACATTCTTAGAGGGAGCAAGCTAAGTCATAATTTCTTGGTTACAGCTAGGTAAAGAACGCCTCCTTTTACTGGGAATTGGTTAGTAGTTTTTAGTGAATCTGAGTGATTTTCTTCTGTAGTTCATTTCCTCTCCTTGTCACCATTCATTCTGTCTGCCTCTACTGGTGTTTTTAATTCAAGAAGTTAAATTTTTCTTAAAGACTTTTGAGAAGCATTAAATTGAATAGTACTTTGCAGTGTCAGATGTTGTTAATTGTGCTGGTCATCACTATATGTATTCTTGTGCCTATTTCTTAATCTGGGTTGAAATTACAAAATTGCTGGTAAAGAAAGGCAAATATCTTTCTTTTAAAGATACCTGTGTTTTAGTTTCTTTGGAGTCTTGAGGGTTTTTTTTTTCTATTTAAGAAATAACTTACTGAGAAGGTTTAAAGTGGAGGGGAGGGTGCACAAAGATGTAACACGCTTATGGATGGGAAGAATACTATGACAATAACTATACTATTTATTATGCTCAGGCAATCTACAGATTCAGTGCAATCTCTATCAAGATACCAATAGTGTTTTCACAGTAGTAGAACAAATAATTCTAAAATTTTATGGAAACACAAATGACACTGAATAGCCAAAATGAACAAGAGAAAAAACAAATTTAGAGGCATCACAGTCCATAATTTCAAACTATACTGCAAAGTTACGGTCATCAATGGTGTGGCACCATCACAAAACAGACACGTAGATCAACGGTACAGAATAGAGAGCCCACAGATGACCTCACACTTACATTGTCCATCTGTGACAAAGGAGGCAAGAATATACAATGGGGAAGATACAGCCTCTTAGATAGTGTTGGAAAAATGGACCGCTACGTGCAGAAGAATCAACCTGGCCTACTCTCACACCATACATAGAAGTAAGCTCACAGTGGATTAAAGAGTTAGATATCAGGCCTGAAACCACAAAGCTTCTAGAAGAAAACATAGGCAGTGTGCTGTTTGTCATTGGTCTTGACAATATTGATTTTTGTTGTTGTTGTTCAGGCAAAGGAAACAAAAAATAAATGGGACTACATGAAATTAAAAAGCTTTTGCACATTGAGAGAAACTATACACAAAATGAAAAGACCACTTACAGCGTGGGAGAAGACATTTGCAAACAATATATCTGATGCGGGGTTAATATCCAAAATATCCAAAGAATGTCTATAACTCAATGTAAGAAAAAAAAAACTTGATTAAAAAATGGACAGAGGGCCTGAATAGACATTTTTCCAAAGAAAACATATAGATGGCCAACAGGCATCTGAAAAGATGCTCAACATCATTAATCATCAGAGAATTGCAAATTAAAGTTACAATGAAATGTGTTAGAATGGTTATTATAAAATATAAGACAACAAATATCAAGTGTTGGGGAAAATGTGGAGAAAAGGGAAGCTTCATTGGTGGGAATGTACATTGGTGTAGCCACTATGTAAAACAGTATATAGGCTCCTCAAAAAAATTAAAAATAGAACTATGATATGATCTAGCAATTCCACTCATGGGTATTCATCTGAAGAAAGCAAAAAACACTAATCAGAAAAGATATATGCACCCCTATTTTTATTGCAGTATTATTTATAATAGCCCAAATTGGAAGCAACCTAAGTGCCCATCAGTAGATGAATGAATAAAAAGATGTGATATATATGTGCACACACAATGAGTGGTGTATTAGTCATAAAAAGATGAAATCTTGCCATTCTGACAACAGGGATGGAACTAGAGAGTATTATGTTAAGTAAAATTAGAGAATGACAAAAACTGTATGATTTTACTTGTATATGGAATCTAAAAATAAAAACAAACATAATAAAACAGAAACAGATTCACAGATATAGAGAAAACAGGTGGGGGTGGGGGAAGGAGAGGTGGGGGTGGGGGAAGGAGAGAAATGGGAGAGGGAAATTAGGAGGTTCAAACTTCCAGTTATAAAATAAATGAGTCACAGCTATGAAATGTACAGAGTGGGGAATATAGTCAATTACATAATATTTTTTTTACAGTGATAGACAGTAACTAGACTTATCATGGTGATATTTTGAAATGTATAGAAACATTGAATGGCTTTATTGTATACTAGGAGCTAACACAAAGTCATAGTTCAATTATACTTTAAAACAAACTCTAGGAGAAAGAGGTCAGATTTGTGGTTACCAGACACAGTAGGTGGGGGGAGGAGGAATTGGATGAAGGTATTCAAAAGGTACAAAGTTTCAATTATAAGATAAGTCAGTACTAGGAGTGTAATATACATGATAAATAGATTAACACTGCTGTATGCTATATATAAGGTTGTTTAGAGAGTAAATCCTAGAAGTTCTTATCACAGAAATACTTTTTTCTGTTTCTTTAATTTTGCATCTACATGAAATGGGTGTGATTAAACTTACTGTGTAATCATTTTGTGATGTATGTAAAATCAAATCATTGGACTGTATACCTTAAACATATACAGGGCTATATGTCAATTGTATCTCAGTAAAACTGGAAGAAAAGATGCTCCACCGAGGCCGAGCACAGCATGTGACAGATGTGGCATGAATCCACCAGAGGTAAGTGGACACCTTCTGTCCCTGTCTCAGCAGCAGGTCTCTTGGACTGTGACAGGTCCCTGCAGCACCTGGACTATTCACCTGGCCCAGCTAAGCAGAGGCCCAGGCTTTTGCTCTATCAGAAAAAAATCCAGAAAGCTCATTTCCCTTCAGAGACTCCTTGACAGTTTCTGCCTAGTGGGACTTTCAACACTGCTCTGCTTTGTGGGAGGGGGTTCCGCTGGGTGACAGTCATATGCTTCTGGGCAGGGCCGTGGGCTAGGAAACAGAAACAGTCATCCTTCCCCAAAAATGTCTGAATCAAGTACACAGTGGAATAATTGTATTTTTGTAAACCCCAAGTTTCAAGTAAGGTAGCTGTATAGAGAGATGGCTGCCTGGGGACGCTTTTGGAGCTGCTGTATCCAGCCCCTGAGAAACAGGTGTCCTTGATGGTATGCTGGTTGAGGTCGTTTTGACTGGAGCTCAGCACACATCTTGAGTGATAGACCTGGCTACAGAATTAGAGTGACTCAGTCAACGTCAGAGAGCTTCCTGGCTCAGAAGACTAGCTGTGAGATTGGGAGTGACAATCCCACTTCTGACAAGACACATCTTTGGGCTTCCCTTGTAGCTCATGATAAAGAACCCACCTGCAATGCAGGAGACCCAGGTTCGATCCCTGGGCCGGGGAGATCTCCCGGAGAAGGGAATGGCAACCCACTTTCATGGACAGAAGAGCCTGGTGGGCTCACAGTCCCTGAGGTTGCAAAGAGTCAGAGATGACAGAGTGACTAACACAATACATGTTTCCCCAGTATAAACCATCCTCAGAAATGCAGTCTCAGTGGAGGAAAATGGGTTCTAATCCAGCAGCCTGTCAGTATGTGGTATGAAAAAAAAGGCTTGTCTATCTCTCTGTGGATGAAAAACTTGTTCTGAAGTTTGTAAAGGTTATGAAAATTTAAACAACTTCCTAAATTAACATCAGAAAATAGAATGTCACCTTTGGGTGAAAGTAAACTTTACTAAAAGCTTGTGTTTATAGAAAAATGTTGAAGGTGATTTCCCAGTGTTTCAGTGGCCAAAAACATGCTTTGTGAAGACAGTAATTAAGGTCTCAGCAGTCTGTTTTAGAATCACATGTTTAAAGGAAAATAGCATTTCTCATTATGTGATTCAGTAAGCATATATTCTATCAATAAAATCCCGACCCTCCGTCTCGAACATGTGTGGACATGGTCCTGAGCCACCTGTGGGAGCAGGTGTGCCTCAGAAGCCCCCAGACATTGAAACACAGACCCTCAAGTTCAGTCTAGAGCTCCATCTCACCCAAGGGGTGGCCGCGCTTAAAAATAACATTCACAAGTGTTGAGTTGGGAACTGGAGCCTTGGCAAAGGTAAGCTGTTTCTCCACAGGCTTAATCTTGTCCTCACTTCGCAGCTTTGTCTTGAGGGATGAGGTCTCTCCCTCTGTTGGCCTGGAACTGCCCTGAGGGTTGTTTGGGTTCCTGTTCTGGTGGATCTCCAAGATACTCTTTCTGCTGTGGGAAAAGAAAGAGGCAACTGATCCCCAGAGGAAAAGCAGGTGATCTGAGAAATGTCACTTCTCAAGTGGTTACTTGTGAGCTCAGGAGCGTTTCTCAGTCAGGTCCACCTGCTCCCTGGGAGGGCGGAAGTGACGAAGTGCTTTAAGGTGCAGGCTAAACATCTTTTGCTATTAAAATTTTTTTAAAAAAGATGCAGGAAACCTGCTCCTTCACATTCTTCAGCTTTCCACGCTGGAGACACTGTACAGCCCTAGAAACTGAGCTGCTTTGGGGCCTTTGTCTACAATGTGGGGGGAAGCCCAGAACCCACACAGGCCAATCTGCAGCCAGGACTGTGGGCCCTTTTCCAGGGTACGTAGTGACATGCTGACTCATCCTGGGCTTGCCCTGTGAGCCAGTTTGTAAAAAGAATCTTTAAAGTGTTAAAGGATGCTGTATCTTAGAAAAGTGTCTGAAGTTGAGTAAATGTCCCTGTTCTTTGTTGAATATGGTGGTGGTGGTGGTTTAATTGCCAAGTTGTGTCCAACTCTTGTGATCCCATGGATATATAGTCCATCAGGCCCCTCTGTCCATGTGATTCTCCAGGCAAGAATACTGGAGTAGGTTGCCATTTGACCTTCCCAACCCAAGGGTCAAACCCGCATCCCCTGCACTGCAAGCAGCTTCTTTACCATTGAGCCCTCAGGGAAACTCTTTGTTGAATATAGCATGTTACAAAAGGGCTTTGCAGCAGTTATTCTGAGAATCGTGAAAATAAGCCATGCATAGTCCAAGACAGGGTTGCCCAACAGAACATTCTGTGATGGAAATGTTCTATGTCTGCCCTATTCAAATGGTCGCCACTAGACATGCATGATACAGAACACTTGGAATATGACAAGAGCAGAATTTTGAAGTTTAATGGCTATCTGTGGCTAGTCACAACTGTACTGGATATCACAGGTCTGAAAGAACACATATTGGTATGTACTTGTTGCTGTTTATTCATCCTATATAAAGTTTTTCATGGGAAATTGTGTATAAAATTGCTTTGAGGTGCTGTTCATCAAGACCTTAAGATCAGTGTTTAAGAAGCTATGTGCATCACCTGCCTATATTGTGTTCTGAGCCTTGTGGGTCCCTGTCCTTGGTGGAGACTTCTGTGATTGGCATTCCCTGCCATCCATCAAATACTCACTCTTCTCTCCCAACACATCCCATCTAGATGACACACTGTCTCCTTGACAGAGACCACATCAGGCCTGTGTGTGTGACCCAGGGATGTATGCCATGGCTGAGCACACATCAACAGCCAAATCCACCCTGTAATAAAGCTTTACAAAGCACCACTTCACTTCTTATGTTGTTTTCACCATGGTCCTCACTATTGCATTCAGGCCTGCTCTCAATAGATATTATCTATGTGAGATGAATTGGTTGGCTGTTGGTAAGTGCTGCATTTACCAGAGGGCGTACTGGTCAAGGCTCAGGTGCTGGGTGCTGTAGGAAATGTAAGGATGTGTAACCACAAAGATCCCACTTCTGAAACCACAAGGGACACTGATAAATAAGATTTCCAAGTCACAGCCAATGGGTGCAAGAGGCAGGCTAGGAGATATGGTTTGGATGTCAAGACATGGGCATATATATAAGCAACATATTTCATTGTGACAGAGTCTTCTGAAAGAGGTGGTTTCTGGGCTGGATGAGGATGTCCTGTCTCTAAAATACAGCAGTGGGTGCATTTTGAGAGTTTAAATGAATATATAAGCGTTTCCACAGCTTTTTTCCCCTCATTATTGGGTAGTCTGTTTCTGTTGGGTCTATCCTGGATGTAAGTATGCGGCAGCTCCTAATTCAGCACACAACTGTGAACTAATTGATTTTAAGTGTAATCTACTACTGTTTCATTTGGCTCCACACGAAGCAGCATGGTTGGCAGTGGTAACCCTCTGTCCCAACAACCACTGAGGACACAGGAAACAAGGCAAGACGATCAGGTTAATGGAGTGGTTCGGGTGTGAAGTGCTCCCCCAGAGTGGGCTCTCCTAGAGGACTCAGCTTCTCAGATGCTCCAAGGTGGAGGCGGACTAGAGCTGGACCTGGGGAGGAGGACGTGAGATGGCTGGCCAGCACTGCAGGTAGGAAACTACAGGTGTAAAGTCACAGAGGGGGGACCCACACTGGTGTTTGGGAAGGAAAGTGAGTGGGGCAGTAGGCAGAGGCTGGCTCGTACAATGCTAATGGCTAGAAAGGTTGCAGTCACGTTACACTGGAGGAAGGGACCAGCCTCTGCGTTCTCACCTGCGTATTTAATCTTCACGATAACTCTGTAATGAAGGCTGATGTGTTAACCAGAGAATGCTTGGTGGTAAGACAGAATCCCATCTGGGTTGGCTTAAGCCAAAGAAGGAAATTCATCACAGTATCCCAGTTTCAACTGGTCCTCACCCAATGTCATCAACTCTGGTCAAGGAGGCAGAGTTAACTACACAAATGTGGCTATTGGGGACATTGTACAATATGTCTCCTGAACAGAAAAGTTAATACGTGTTGTAATCCCTAGAGCAACTGCTAAAACAGAATGCAAAGAAGTATAACTTAAAAACCAACAACTAAGTTAAAAATGGAATTATTTAAAAACTAAAGGAGTAAAGAACAGGTATAGATAAACTATGGTTGATCATAGGTCAGTTGTTGAAACCAGGTGATGGATAGATGGGGATTCATTATACTATTCTTTGTAAATGTTTAAAACTCTCCATGATAAAAAGCTTTTAAAATGGATGTATTTCAAACAGAAACTAAAAGGTCCTGTGGTTCTTCTGTTCCAACTACTGTGTACGCATCACTGGACTGAAAATATTTTGAGTTCTCCACGCAGTGAAAGCAAAACCACCCAGACCCATTAAGTAGAAAGTTTGACAGTCTGTGAACATTATTGTCATCATTGTGGTTGATTTAAAGTCCTGATGCTTGGAATCTTTCCTCGCAATTTTGATTTTGGTGGTCTGGAGGAGACCTGGGCATCTTGTATTCTGTACCCAACTCCAGTGATGCTGATGCATGCCCACATTTGGGGAGGACAGCTGCAACAGGTGTTCCATGGATTAGTCTCTGCAAGCTGCCCCTTGTTGTGCCTGTCCTTCGCCTGGGTACCTCCCTGCCTCAGGACGTGAGCAGCACGACGCTGTGGCACTTCATGCACAACCTGAGCTACATCAGTGCCTCATGAAGCATCCTGCTTTTATTCCCATTTTGTGATTCCAGCACAGACTCTTTTTCCTGGGCAGGTGATTTATAGAAGTGCCTACTGCCATTTTAATTGCTTTAGTTTCAAAACATTAACATCCTGGTGAGCTTTTCCCCCATGTAATCCTCCTAACCTATTGTCTGGAGTCTTTCACCAGGAGTGCTCCCTTCCTCCTTCACCAGGGCCAGCTTCACGTGCGTGTGATCTATACAGTCATGCAAGGCCCCCACACTCAGACGGTCTCACTTTTGGTTTAATGCTCTCCTGACACTGCCTTGAAATTCCTTGTTTTGTCTTTGAACTTGTGTAAGTCAAGGTATGGTGAGACAAAATTGAAAATGCGTGAGCAGAGGAGATCCGTGCAATGTGTTTGTCCCCTGTTCTTACCTCCTTTCACTTACAGCCTTTGTGATTCCCATGAGAAGAGAATTCCAGTGGGCCTACCATATAGGAAGAGATTCAGAGTTTAAGGCAAGTTTGTCATGTCTACAGCTGAGAAAGTGAGGACACGAGGCCCCAGAGGTCGTGCTTTCTGAAACAGATTTCATTCAAATACAGAGAGAAGGTGATGGCATTCTAAGAACCGTGAGTGACCGTGGAACCCATACCTTTCCCTTCCTACTCATGTTACTTTCTTGTAATAGCCAGCCACTTACACTGAAATGAGGACACGGAAGAAAAGGAAAACCGAGGGCAGCTCATAATCTCTCTTTCCTTCAGTCCTTCCTTACTCCCCGCTAAGTTGAGAGAGACTGTGTACGTATCAAAGAGTGAAATAATGGTTGAGCTAGTTTTGTGTGTTGTTTCCACTGTTTTGCTAAGAATGAGACATATATATATATACGATATGAAATAATTGTGTGATTTTGCTTTCTGAATGTGAATTAAATGCTGTTATAGTGGCATTTAAAACTGCAATAGCCCAAAAGTAGAAAGATGAATGATAAAATTGTAATAATTTAAAACTTTAATTTTTCCTGGAATAGCATTGAGTATCAAACAAAAAAATCTGTAACAAGTTGTGAGAAGAAAGGGAAAACATTTTCGTGCTTTTCGTGGTACTGCCTACTGGATTTTTGGAGATAGGGCCCCACACCCTAATTCTGCACTGGGCCCTGTATATTAGGAGCCAGCCCTGCTCTTAACTGGCCTGCTCCTCCTGAGGTGGTCTCAAACCTCCCCGCAGTGGAAGCCACTTCTGTCTGCAAGCCCCCTGGGGACTCCGGCTGATCGTCGCGGGTTTGAAGGGCACCGTGGCTTTGGTGGCCCCTCTGCTGCTTCATTTGTGAAATTCAGAATTGGACCAGGACTGAGGCAGAAATAATTCAGGGGCTCCAAAAGCACTAGAGGAAGGATACCCACCACATTGGCAGACAAGACAAATTCTCAATCCCCTTCTAGCCTTGACTTGGGGAAGGAGCCAAATGCTGGGCTCTCTCATCTGGCACTGCTGGTTCTCCCTCTGATGAGTTCTGGAAGAAAAATACTGTGGAAGACTGACTATTATCCTTGACACCTGGGCTCCTCTCTGCCCTCTTCTGCCACTCCGTGAACTGCTGAGCAGCTGTGAGTAGGCAGAGCAGGCGGAAGCTCCTGCCAACAGCGACTGATTCCATCCAAACTCATCATGAAGAATCCTGGCAAAGCAATGCTTGGGAGGCCTTGTTTTCATGGTACAGTAGAATCACTTCTTAAAACAATGTGAGAAAGATAATTTTGGCAAATGTGCAAATATCACATCACAAAACTGGAAACAAGAAACTTTATAGAAAACTGATGAAGATGAAAAACTATTGAAAATTGAAAATGAGCAAAGCAAGATTTGCTTGTGGGGAAGGATATAAAAAACATAAAAATGTATCTTCAGGATTTTACGAGGAACATTATAACCCATCAAACTGTGAGAGTGTTTAATATTCTCTAACAAAAATGAACTGATCTGAGTAAGGGTAATGCAAAAATATTGTAATGTAGTGCTACCCAACAGAGCTTTGTGTGATGATACAAATGTTTCATCAAAATACAGAACCCATTAGCCACATGAATATATTATACCCAATGTGGCTAATAAAACTAAGGAACTGAATTTTTAATATGGCTTAAATTTAGCGGCTTTAAAAGTAGCTACCAATTTGAACAGCCTAGTTCTAATGCCTCCTAGGTCAAAACCAGTGGTTTCTTTGGGGAACCTCTGTAATTACTGCTGACGGGTAGAGGGGTTGGGGTAGAAAAACAAGAAAGCTCTTAACAGATCTACTTAGTCACTTACATAAAAGCTTACATTCCTCACAGCTCCCAGGAGCAGTAGATGGCACAACCTGCTGTAATGGGTATGCAGGAAGGATTCTTGGGGAGACCTGAGTATGCCCTTGCAACTCCTGGCTCAGGCCAATGGGAGTAAAAGGCCTAGGATTCTGTCATTCAGATGGGGAGAGGAATCGCGTCTCAGCCTTTTGGCTGAGATCAAGTGCAGATGGAGAGAGGACTGTGGTTCCACACACAGACTCTGAGGTTGGGCCATGCCCGGGGCATCTGTGCATGGACATTACCACTGTGGGGCAGGTGGAGAGGCAGAGGGGGATGCTCATTTCCGGACAGGGTTTCCAGACCCAGAGGAGGATTTAGAGGTGGAAGCAGGACCTGAGGGCCCTTTCTGGCCACCTGCAGGCTGAGCAGGCCCTTTCTTTTTGGGGATTATGGTCTTGTTCTTGCTCTTGAACACTTTGCTAGGATCCAGCTTGTTCACAAAGGAGTCGGTCTCTTCAGTGAGGAGGTTTGTGTTGTAGGTGATGGGTTTATACATGTTGAACCATTGCTGTAAGGCAGAGTTGGGAGAGAAGGTCACAATTCAAAGGAGACAAGCATGTGCTCATGTTCTTTAGTGGAGATACAGGGGTAGAGAACTGGGGAGATGAGGCAGAGAGTAAAAGTTTTCATGAAAAACTGCCTCTAAAATCTATCAGCCCTTCCTTTGGGTAAAAAGGAAGACACACATTGCTTTATGGGGTCTTATAAATGGACCTTTAAATAGAGCAGGATGAGGATGAAGAATCTGAGTAAATGTGCTTCCTTCTAATGTAGTGAGCCTTGAGCATGGGATACTAGGTCCCCAAGGTACAGGGTACAGTGTCCTTCTAACTGTTCTGCCCTCACACTGGTCTCTGCCCCTCGGGTGGATTGGGTAGCATCCTTCCCATGGGGAAACAGCAGACCAAGACCAGAGCCGGCTCTGCTGAGGGAAGCCGCCTGCTCTCTTCCTGGGCAGCTGAAGGCAAAGGGCATCTACACTCACTGATGTTCATTGATAATAACCACCCGCTATGTTGCCTGGATGACGTCATTATCATGCGCCATTTGAGCAAGGTGAGGTCCCCTTGATGAATACATACAGGGAACTGAGTCCCTCATTTTTTGCCACCCGGGCAAAAGTTCTTGACACACCTGGTGTTCTCAAACAAGGCAGTCTATCAGCATTATCTGACATCTGTATGTTTAAACTGGTATCTAGATCTATAGTATAAATGAGGCACATCCATATTTTGAAATACCAAATATCAATGCAAAAGACAGCTCTCTATATATGGATAGGGAATGAGCTCCAATGTGCAATTAAGTGAAAAGAAGGTGCAGAACAATGTGAAGTGTCACACTTGTGACTTAGAAAAAAAGAACCCCAAACTGTATGCGTGAGTGCTTTCCATCCAGCAACATAGCTCAGTGAGGGCACAGGAGACACCAACAGCGGCTGCTGGTGGGGAAGTGGATGGATGAGGAGCGTGTGCGTGTACTGTGTATCCAAAACCAGCCATCAAACCTAAGCCCTGTCCCCTCCGCAATTCATTAGAAATTAAAACTCCCCAGAGGAGTCTGAGGACTAGCCAAGGCTGGGAACCACTTAACTAGATTAGTATAAAGTGCTGTTGTCCACCTGAATGGGAAGCACCTACTTTACTGAAAATGCAGGTTCCTGGGCTCTACCTAGATCTGCAGAATCAGATGAGGAAGTTGGGACTCTGCAACTTAGGCATTTCCTCAGAAGATTCTGATACATTTTGCAGTTTGAGGTGACAGGGAGTCCTCCCTTACCTTGGCCTGGGGGCTGACGCCATAGCTGGTGAAGGCGTACTGCCACTGGGGCAGGCCCAGGTGGGTGATGAGCAGGCGGTAATAGGCAGTAAAGGTGTCTGTGAGAAAATGCCAGTATAATGCTCTGTCCAGGAACCAGATCTCAGTGTCCTGTGCTAATCCTGAAACAGCAGACAGAAGACATAAAGGGATGGCTTAACACTTTTTTCCTTTTATCTATAAAGTCAACATCCACTCATGGTTAAAACAAATTTCAACAGTAAAAGGAATGTAAAAGTTCCCATTTTTCCCTTCCAATCTCCCAGCTCTGTTCTCCAGTGGCCACTGTCAAGGTTTCTCTGGTATTCTTTTACAAGTTCTTGATCAGTCAGTCAACTGACCTATCGCTGGGCCCTGGCCATCCGTGCACTCAGGCTGCCTAAGGAGCGCTGCTTTCCTGTGTGGACGCGACACTTCCCTTCCCCCAACAGCTACAGGCTGTGGGCTCAGCCTTCCTGATGGAGAGAGACTCTGAGGAGCCCTGGCTTTCTCAGGAGGTCTGAGAAGGCCGCCCCTCTCCTGGGACTCTTGCCTGTGCAGTGGTGTGCTGTGCTGGTGGAGCTGAAGCACTGCTCTATCAGCTCCTGCCTCACACGTGCTTCTGCCCATCCAGCCTTACGACTGTGGAGGTCTCTCCTAGCTCATCTCCTCATCTCCTCTCCTCTGTAATGGCTGTGACACCCCCCTAAATGGCATCCATCCTCCAGTAGCCTCTTCTTCCAGTTCTACTCGTGGTCACATTTTCACTTGAATCCTGCTGTATCTGTGCTAAACAACCTTGACTCCCCCCATACTTCCACAGAATGGCCAAACTCCACCTGGCTTTCAGGACTCGGCACAAAGGGCTTCTGGCATCATCTCCCCTCATCCACAAGATGAACCCAGTGGCCAATGAACTAAAATTACCTGTCATTTCCCTCAAATCAGTTGCAGTGCTCCATGGCATGGCTTTTACCCATCTCTTTGCGTGGATGCCCTCTTTTGCCCCACCCTCACCACCCATATCTCAATCCAACCAATATTTCAAGATGCAGCTCAAAGGCTGCTTCACAAAGACTCCTCCAGCAGGAGATGGTCTCTGCTTCCCCCGGAGGTAAATCCTGGTGTGTCTTCTCACCCCTTGCAGGCAGAGAGGTACCTGAAGAGGGCTGGACCTTGTCCACCTCTGGGACTGAACTGCTGTCAGGGGTGGCCTATGTCCAGTGGCAGCCACTGCACAGGAGGTCAGAGCCTTTCCCTCTTAGACGGAGGTTTAGTAATTCAGCTTTTCCTGGACGCTTTTCTAACACGTGAACCAGCTAGAGGAGTTATTAACAGAGTAACTATTTCTTTTACTTTTTATTCACTTATTATCCTAATCTTATTACTCTGCAGTAACTTGCAAATGACAGGACCTTAAAAAGACTCCAATAATGGACCTGGAGGGAGGGTACTCAGAGAGGACCTACGGGGCCTTCTCTTGGCATCTACCTGAGACCCTGCAGCATCTCAGAGGTCAGGGAGGAGCGTGTCTTCTGTGTGATGGCTGGAGAGCAAGGTTAGCCAAGGCCATTCCCAGACTACAGAACTGCGCCTGCCATGATTCTTACCTGGTTTCCCTCTTTTGTAGACAAGGCAAACCTTCCCATTCCCGTTGCAAGGATCCAACTCAAATATCACGCTGCGAGAATCAAAGTGAGGCTTCTCTGGCTGGTTCTCACTGGCTGCAAATCCAGAAGTTAATGGTAATGTTTAAACACACTCAGCTTAAACATACTTACTCATCCAGCTTTGCTAGGATGAAAAAAACAGACAGGGAAAAAAACCTTATCTCAAACATATTCTTAACTATCATTTTCAAATGTGGACCAATGTATTGTCCACTCTAAGTGTCCTGGGTCTTGTTCTTGGTCTAAGTCTTCTGTCAGGGCTCTGCTGTTACTGATAGACAGGGTCACAGAATCCAGGGGTAGGTGGCATGAGGACAACAAAGTGAACTTCCTGGGACGCGTGAAGTCAGAGGAACCGGAACAATTTCTTTTTCCACAGATAACTGATTTCCCCTCATTTATAGCACTCTATGATCTTTTGATTAGAATCTTGTTTCTTATGTCTAAAATGTATATTTGCGGTTATGACCCTATTAAGGTATTTTGTCTGTGCCTTTTGTCAATTATTGACTATACAACATTTGGCAAATTATGCAATGTCTGAGTTCCTCACATTACTTATTTTTAAGAAGTGATAATGTGTACCTAATAGAGTTTTCGTGAGGACTGTCAGAGATTTTATATAAAGCCCATACTCAATAAATATCAGTTACTGTCATTACTTAATAACAATATTAGTTAAGGACACGAGTCCTAGGGTGGCTCAGAAGGTAAAGAATCTGCCTGCAATGCTGGAGACCCAGGTTTGATTCCTAGGTTGAGAAGATCCCCTGGAGGAGGAAATGGCAATCCACTCCAGTACTCTTGTCTGGAGAATCCCATGGACAGAGGACCTTGGTGGGCTACAGTCCACGGGGTCACAAAAAGTTGGACATGACTGAGTGACTAAGCACACATAAGCATAATATAATTATGTGTGTGTGTGCTCACTTGTGTCTGACTCTCTGTGACCCCATGGACTAGAGCACACCAAGGTCCTCTGTCCATGGGATTCTCCAGACAAGAGTACTGGAGTGGGTTGCCATTTCCTCCTCCAGGGGATCTTCCCAACCCAGAGGTCAAATCCTTGTCTTGTGCATTGGCAGGCAGATTCTTTACCACTGAGCCACCAGGGAAGCCCATATTATAACATTATAATTAATGCTAAGTCTGACTCTGTTAGAAATACCTGCCTAGAAACCAAATATCATGGTGTAACAGACAGAAGATGAATTCTTAGAAATACAAGCATCAGAAGCCTCTCCCGCTTCTTTCATTACAGCAATTATGCATAAAGATTAGTATTAGTGACTGGGTGGAGAAGGTCTACAAACCTAGGAGAGATTGGATAAGCAGAGTATATAGTGTCTGTGATCTGCACACACATCTGTGTGTGCGGGCACAGGCATTCAGTCGTAGTCGACTATCTGCAACCCCATGGACTGTAGCCCGCCAGGCTCCTCTGTCTATGGGATTTTCCAGACAAGAACACTGGAGTGGGTTGCCATTAGGTCTACAAACCTAGGAGAGATTGGATAAGCAGAGTATATAGTGTCTGTGATCTGCACACACATCTGTGTGTGCGGGCACAGGCATTCAGTCGTAATCCACTATCTGCAACCCCATGGACTGTAGCCCGCCAGGCTCCTCTGTCTATGGGATTTTCCAGACAAGAACACTGGAGTGGGTTGCCATTTCCTTCTCCAACCTATGTATATATAATTTTATATAAGTGCATTAGTATTTACATCTTTAACTAAAAACGTTTTTCTTTTTTAAAACCTGGCTTTCCTCATCTCATGTGGTCCTAGACACACATATAGGTACACATCTACATTTTTTCAAGATTGTTTATTATATAAACTTGTATGCCATACAGGTCACCTGAGTCTTACCTTCTGTGTAACAGCGCCGTGTGGAGAGCCCTCTGCGGCTTGTAGTCCTAATGCGTTAATGGCTGTCTGGCTGAAAGCGGGTGCCCTAATTCAGCCTGCCAGTCCTCTACTGACAGGCACTCACCCGCCTTATCCTGCTGCAAATGCTCCAGCAGTCACCTCTGTACACATCCTTTTGATCAAGTACTGTTGCGTGGACAGACACCCACACAGTAGAATGGACACTGCTAGACTGCTTTTTGAAAAGGCCTTTGTTTTTGAAAGAATTTGGAATGTCTGAAAGGGGTTTAGCATTCTAGGTTGACACTTTTTTCCTCTGAGTATTTTATCTTTTTTTTTAATCAACTGAATTTGCTTAAAGAACACTTTTATTTTTCTATGTATCTATTTTTCCCTCTGGTCTAGCAGTATGAAAATTCTCATAACTTTAAAAATTGGTATATAGTTGATTTACAATGCTGTTAGTTTCAGCTGTACAGCACAGTGAATCAGTTGTATATTACCCTCTCTTCTTTAGATTCTTTACCATATATGTCATTACGGAATACTGATTGTTTCCTGTGCTGTACAATAGGTCCTTATTAGTCATCTCTTTTATATATAGTAGTGTGTGTCAATCCAATCTCCCAATTTATCCCTGCCACTCCTCAGTATTTCATCTTGACTGAATTGTTTCCAATGGGAAATATGCCATTATCCTTATCTTTTTCCTTGGTATGGAACTATCTCTTCCCATTAACAGCTTTTAAGATCTTCTCTTCATCCCTGATTTTGAGCAATTTGATTATGTTTCTTACTATTATTTCTTCATGTTTCTTATTCCAAGCTTGTTGAGCTTCTTAGATACGGTTTAAGTCTCCATGAAATTGGTATAGTTTTGAGCCACCATTTCTTGAAATATTATTTGCCAGCCCAATTACAGGGACTCTTTGCAGGGACTCCAGTTAGACATATATTATACCATTTGCTGTCCCTCAGTTAACTGATGTTCTTTTCATTAAAAGAATTTTTTAATTTGTGTTATTTTGGATTGTCTACTGTTATGTCTTTAAGTTCTCCAGTCTTTTCTTTAGCAATGTCTTAGTTATTGTTAGTCCCATCCAGTGTATTTTTCATCTCAGACACTCGTTTCATCTATAAAAGGTAAGTTTGGATTTCTTTTTTCCTAACTGCTATGTCTGTATAAGTTTTTGAACATATTGAATATAGTGATGACTGTTTTAAAGTCTGTATCTGCTAATTCTAAATGGTGTCTCAAATCTGGATTGGTTTCAACTTATCAGTTTTTCTCTTCCTTACGGTTATTTTTTTCCTTCTTTTTTGCATGCCTGCTAATCTTTGGATGACAGAAATTATTACTTTTGCATTGTTGAGTGCTTTATATTTTTATATTTCTACAAATATCATTAAGCTTTGTTCTGTGATAGTTAAATTATGTGAAAACAGATACTTTTGGGTTGTAGTACTTGTCAGGCAGAACCCAAGACAGTATTTAACCTAGGGCTATTTTTGCCCCCATTCCTGAGGCGGGACCCTTCAGAGTACTCTACCTGGGTAAGCTGTGAGGTGTTTCAGCCCAGCTGGTACAGGCATTAGGACTGGTCCTGTGTGAGCACCAGGTGCTGTTCCAGCTCACCACCTGGGGCGGTCTTGTCCCTGGGCCTCGGGCAGTATCTTCACATGCCAGTGCTCATCAGTTCTCTGCTGAGTACTGGAGGAGGGTCCTCGGCAGTTCTCTATGCAGCTCGTTCCTCCCTGTTACTCAGTCCTGTGAGCTGTCTTCACCCAGCTGGGCTCTTAGTTCTCTCTTCTTAGTTAACAGGCACAACAGGCTCTGNTACTGGAGGAGGGTCCTCGGCAGTTCTCTATGCAGCTCGTTCCTCCCTGTTACTCAGTCCTGTGAGCTGTCTTCACCCAGCTGGGCTCTTAGTTCTCTCTTCTTAGTTAACAGGCACAACAGGCTCTGCTTGGTTTCGCTCTCTTTGCCGTCAACCAGAAACTTTCAGATAATAAGCTGGGGGCCACCTCATTTGTTTCCCATCATTCAGAACTCATCATCCTTCCCTGCATGATGCTATCTTGAAATCCATTGTTTTACTTTTTTTTTACATTTGTTTTTGTTTTTTGTTTCAGGTGGGAAGCTTGGTCTCTGCTATTTCATCTTGGATGAAATCAAAAGTTCAGACTGTAGGCTCCTACCAAGTTTTAGCAGCCCTAACTGATGCTATCTGGGGTTTACCCTCAGGCAAAAAGTTACAAAAATAGTAAAATCATTCAGTGTGATTCCCTTCTGCCATTTGTAGATGCCACTCCAGTTTCTGCTTATATCTGGTTACTCTCTAGTCCTTTTAAGTGTAATTATCTTAAAAATTTCCTCAGAGTTTAGAGTATTATTTGCACAAGTCCTGATCTGTTTGAAAGATAGTATGCCTTATGACCAGAATCATAAGGTCAAATCTACAATGTCCCTGTTACTAGTTCTTTGTTGAATTTTTAGTTTTATCTTCATTTGCACATTAGCACATTGTCTTATATCTTGTGCCTAATAATTTCATCCTTGGGAGTACCAGTGGATCTCCTCCTGTTACATTATTGGTGCTAGTTCTTGTTCATGGTATTGTGTTTATTCATGTGCCTGGTTCATATTCAGGAGGATTATTTTTGAAAAATTATTTATAAAAACAATGGGGTCTAGGATAATGTTTTCTTGTTTTTAGGGAAGAAGTTTACTTTTATATGAGTTTTATATTGAGATATAATTCATCTACCATACCATTTACTCATTTGAAGTGTACAATTCAATGGTTTTTAGTGTACGTACTGAGCTTTGCAACCACTGACAGTCACTTTTTTGAACATTTCTTTAGAGTGAATGTGTGTGAGTGAATGCCAGGCCCCCTAGGATATTCATACTGGAATCAAATTAGTCCAATTTGGGGATTTAACATTTTCTGGGATGCACATGTGACTTACACCTGGACTTCAGTCCATGTGAAAAGTGGTTATTTCTGGTTCATTATGTCTCCTAAGGTACAGCTCCCCCCCATGCTAACTGAAAGGATAGGGTAGCTTTTATGGGTGCTCTAGTTTGTAGGTCCTACACTCTGTTTTATTCTCCTAGTCTCATATATGGGTCCAATTCTCAGCCTTTCATAGCCTCAATGCTTCTTTTGAAAAGGATAGTGTATCCTAGGCAAGAGCAACCCCAAATATTGAGCCTCTTCCCTGAATTTCTGTCTTCTTCTGGATGTTAATCTAGTGCTACCTCATCATCTTATTAGCTCTTTGGTGATTTTTGTGTGTTGCCTGACTTTTCAGTTGTCTTCAGCAAGAAGGCTGCTCTGAATTACCTATCTGCCTTCACCAGGAGGTCTCTTCATCAGCCTAAGTATGCTCCTGAAAATAATACATAGGTGAGCTTTGCTTTTTATATCAATCTGATAGTCTCTGCTTTTTAAAAGGGAAATTCAATTCCAGCACACTTAATATAATGATCTGTTTTATTTTATTCCTCTTAATGTTTTGTTGCCTGTTTTATAATGTTTCTTTTCCCTTTTTCTTACTTTTACTCATGTGATTCAACACTACCTTTATTAGGTTAGAGATTCTAAAGTAATCTTTTATCCCTTTAGTGGTTATCTTCCTTTTTGTTATGCTTGCATGACTGGATTCATACGATTCTACCTTTATTTGAAAATAATAGGCCATTGTTTCTCTAACCAAGTGTGGTAAGCAGAATTCTAAGATGGCCCCCAAGAGTCCTACTCCTTGATATACACACCTTGTATAACATCCTCCCCTGAGAGTAGTCAGGACCTGTAACAAAGGAGTAATCATTCTCTTGATTAGGTGACATTATGAGACTACTGTAGCAGACAGCTGACTGACAAGCAAGCTACCATGTTGTGAATCATGTGGCTAGAATCTAAGGGCAGTTTCGATGAGCTGAGAGTGACACCAGGCCAACAACCAACAAGAAAACAAGGACCAAGTTCTACAGCTGCATGGAACGGCATAAGGTCAACCACCAGTGAGCCTGGAAGAGGCCCCTATCCTCAGGTGGCTTCACAGCACCAGCTGACACCTTGATTTTACCCTGTTAAGACTCTAAGCAGAGGACTCTACTCATCAGTAGCTGAATTTTTAACTCATGAAAACTGTTAGATAGGAAATGTGTAGTGTTTCAAGTCAATAAATTTGTGGTAATCTGTTATACAGGAAGAGAAAACCAAGACACTAAAGACACCTCATTTCCCCCAAAGTATACCATTTCTTTCCTCCAGTAGGATGAGACCTTCTACTGTCTACTTCCTTTCCTCTTTGTCCTATACTTTCTACTGTAAGGACTCTCTGGAACATTCTTTGTTTTAATGCTAGGGCTACTGTAACAAAGTACCACATACTGAAAGGCTTGAACAGAAATTTGTTGTCCCATGCCTCTGGAGGCTACAGATCCAAGGTCAAGGTTGGTTTCTTTTGAAGGCTGTGGAGAAGAATCTGTTCTGTCTCTCTCCCCTAGTTGCTGGTAGTTTGCTTGCAACTTTTATGTTTATGCTTTCCTTGGTATGTAAAAGCAGGACTCCATCTCTGTCTTCATCTTTACATGACTTTCTTATGTACCTATATCTCCCAATTTCCCCTATTAAAAGGTTGCCAGTCACACTGGATTAGGGCTCCACCTGACTCCAATATGACCTCACCCGAACTACTTACATCTATTAATATAATGACCCTATTTCCAAATTAAGGGCATAGTCTGAGGTAGTGAGGTTAGGACTTTAACATGAATATTTGACACAATTCAACCCATAACGCTCGTATATCTTGCCTTTGTCCTATTTTTTAGGTTTAGCTGAGACAGTACATTTAAACATATTCCATGCACTACGTCATCTCTTTTCCAAGAGTTCTTATGTAAAAGTTGTATACATTCCTGAATTTTGTTGTTCAGTTGCTCAGTTGTGTCCGACTCTTTGCAACCCCATGGACTTCCCTGTCCTTCACCATCACCCAGAGCTTGCTCAAACTCATGTCCATTAAGTCAGTGATGCCATACAACCATCTCACCCTCTGTTGTTCCCTTCTCCTCCTGCCTTCAATCTTTCCCAACATCAGGTTCTTTTCTAATAAGGCAGTTCTTTGCATCAGGTGGCCAAAGTATTGGAGTTTCAGCTTCAGCATCAGTTCTTCCAATGAATATTCAGGGCTGCTTNTGGAACCAGTCTGTTATTCCATGTCTGATTCTAACCATTGCATCCTTGACCTGCATACAGGTTTCTTGGGAGACAGGAAAGGTGGTCTGGTGGTAAGGTTATGTTCCTGAACAGTAAGATTTAATTTAGTCTTCTTTTTTAGCCTTAATTTACATATTTCTTTATTCAGGCTGTGCTGGGTTGTCACTGCTGTGCTTGGGCTTTCTCCAGCAGCAACGCACAGACTCCCAGTTGCGGTCGGTGGCTTCTATTGTTGCGGAGCACAGACTCCAGGGCGTGCAGTTCAGTAGTTGTGGCTTGCGGGTCTAGAGCATGGGTTCAGTAGTTGTGGGACACAGGCCTAGCTGCCCCATGGCCTGTGGGATCTTCCCTGTCCATGAATAAACCCGTGTTCCCTGAATTGCAAGTCAGACTCTTACCCACTGGACCACCAGGGAAGCCCAGTCTCTTTCATAGGAGGTTCACTAATGTCTTGTTTCCTTTCCTCTTTATAGAGCCACATCTAGAGATTTCCATTCCATTCCATTTGTCTTCAGGTTAGAGTATTTATGAAGTTTTACACAAACTTTAATATTCTTTTAATAATCTGAGAGCTGTATTTGGTCTATATATATAGGACTCTTGATTTTCACTCCTTTTCTCTCAACCTGTTTATGCTTTTTCTTTCTTACTATCTTCTAGTTTTCAACTGTTACAGGTAAGAAGACTGATTCAGTCTGATTATTCTCTCTATATAAGTTGTTATTTTTGCCTAGAAGCTTGTGATTTTTTTTTATGCATCATGTAATGTCTAGGTTTCTGTTTTCTCCTGAATTCAACTGGAGTCCAGGAGAGCCCTTTCAATCCACAGACTGAATAATACAAATTTTCCTTTATTATTGCTTATTTGTTATTCCTTTTGTAACTTATTCTTTTTCCCCTTTTTAAGCACCTAGAATTCCACTGGAAGGTCACCTGATTGTATTTTCTGTTTCTCTTATCCTTCCACTTTTCCTGTCATTTCTCATTTTAAAATGTATTTTATCTGTGCTTTTAGATATTCTTGCACTTGCTTTTTCAGGCTATTAACTCAGGTCTCAATATTTATACTCTTATTCAACTCATCTAGTCAGTTGCTTAATCAAGAGTTTTTGATTTTTTTCTATAGGAAATGTTTGTGCTGTCTTAAATGTCGAAGTGTTCTTATTCTTATTTTTATTTAGGTGTTCATCAGTGTCTTCTAGCAGTGTTACTTCTCTGGTTGTATATTCTAATATTTCTTCCTGATTGTCCTCTTTCTAACTGCTAAGTCTCCTGAGGAAAGTCGGCATTTTTAAATTTAATGAAACAGAGTTGTTGAACTGTATGATAAACCATGAACCCAGAAGGTGCCAGAAGCCCAAGTGACTTTTAGTCCCATGAATACGTAGGACAATGTGGTCTCTACCCCAGCTCAAGTCCTATGCTGAGGTCCCGCGAAATCATTTCTGTCATTTAGTCTACTGCTGCCTATCAGCCTCAAGGGCAGGGTACACCCATTCCCCTTATTTACCAGCGTCTTTGCCTTTGAGGGAGTAGAGAGCCCCAATACACACACACAAAGAAAATGAGACCTTTTTCCCACTCATGAGGATTCCATACATTTCTGAGTGTAGGTTCTTCTCAGGGCCCAAAACTTTCTAGTCTCAGCCCCCGGATTCCTCTTCTGATTATCCAGATGCTTGTCCAGTTGAAGGAGAAAGACTATCATCAGTTCTGTCAGAACTTCGATGCACTCCAAGGCATTAGTACTAGAGATGCTATAGTTACCTACTGAATATTCATTCTCCCTTTTAGAACTCCAGTTCTACTCCAATTCAATTTGAAGAGGCACTACTACACAGCTAAAAATACTTACCTCCTCAAATTCCCTTGTAGGGATGGGTAACCTTCTGACTCTATTCTGGCCAATGGCTATTGGGAGGGGCTTCTGAGAAAACTACCATTTTCCTGACAAAAAAGGAAATATTCTGCCAAGAGACAGTTATTTTGCCCTTTACTCTTCTTTTTCCTGCCTGGAACACAGACTTGAAGCTTGGAGGTAGAACTGACATTCTTCAACCATGAGAATGAAAACCAAACCCGAAGGCTGGTGTGCCAGGAATCCAGAGGAGACTTTATCATCGAGTTTCTCAAGCAACTACACCAGTCTAGTTCCAGATTCTTATTATGAGAAAAATAAACTCCTCTTTTAGTTTAAACATTGTAATGGGGGTCTGTTATATGCAGCCAAACACAATTCTGACTGAAGAAGTCCTCACTTTTACATAATTGATTATAGCTTTAGCAGCCATTTGAATTTAAGCCATTTCAATCAGAAGTGGCCAAGAGCCTGAAGGGAGACAGGAAGCTGCACTTAGATTGCCACGGTCCCTGAAACGTCTCAACACTGAAATGTGGACTGAAGTTTAATCCATAACATTCATTCACTTATCAGAATTCATTAACTGTCTACTATGTGGCAGGGACTGAAGTGGGTACTGGATACAAAACAAAGACCCCAACCCTGGCATTTTCTTGATGAAAATTTCCTTTTTTGACACAGGCTGGTTTTTTTGTTTTGTTTTGTTTGTTTGTTTTTAACCTTACTCCCATGGTTCAGAGAAGCCATGAGTGGGAAGGTTTTGCCTTTAGGGGAACAAGTTACAATGCTACAATGTCTTTCTATTATTTTCAATATTATAAAATGGAAACAAGCAGGTTGATTTGTAACTCAAAGAAGTTCCCCCAGTTACCTTCTTGTATATCGTCCTCCAGGTCTGCCAGAGTTGGTGCGTTAGGAAGTGAGTACATGGAAGACTGGTTGAGTTGAGTCAGTTTTGAGATGCTGTTAATTGCCATGCTGCCCAATGGAATGGTATGTTCTATGGGAATGTTAACAAAAAGAATTAAATGGAATAATAAGCTAGTTACCATGGTCAACAAAAGGGGATCTGCTTGACTAACTTAAGACCAGTTATTATTTGATCCCAGGGCTGAGGAATTGAATGGAAGTGGAAAGTGGAAAAAAGAGAATCAATGTACTACATGCTCTGAAGCACCAGACTTTCATCTTTTATGCAAAAAAAAGAAAAAAAAAAACACCAAAAAACAGCTGGGGCCTTGAGTGAAGAGTCCCCACTGCATGTGTTAGGGTGGAGCACCAAAGGAAATTTTAAGAGGGGATTCTCAAAAAGAACTGTGAATTTTAGGGTTGGAGCCTGTTTGAAGATCAAAGGACTGAAAAATATTTTTGCTCCTGCCATCCAGAATGAAGGATTATACTTTCCAAAGTAACAGTTTTAATTATATAACTGACCACTTCCACCCTTCTTGTCATAAGCTTCCACTGTGGAAACTATCTCCCCCTTTACTTGTCATTTTTTACTCAATGGAGCACATTTTCTTGAAAGCCTTCTTGCTTAGTTCCAGTTTTCTGTGATTCATGTGCACAAAAAAGATGATCTATTTTTCTTATCTGTCATACAGAATCTTTATAATACAGGTGCTGGGCATGGGGTGGTGTACTAAGACTTCGACATATGACTGCTAAAATACTGGAATGACTGCAGCTGGTGTGTAGCCTGGAATGTCCAAGAAGAAAAGACCACTAAGGAAGGAGGTAAACATCAGAAGCTGCCTGTGCTAGGTTTTCTGTTAATGATTTTGGCCATCCAGTAAAAAATGGGTATGGCAATGGGGATGAGGAGAAGAAAATAGTTTGGGAGGATTAAGTTAGAAAAAGTATTAATAATGAATAGGGACTCATAAAACCTTCATGAAATGTTTCTTTTCTGAAAGGGTTAGCCTGTCTCTATGATATATATGGGCAAGGGAGGATCTGACAGTCACTCCAGCCTCTGGCCACTCTCTTTTGGTGACACCATGGTTCCTAGACCATCAGAGGTAATGATTCTAAGTTCACGTTAAATGCTTAGGAGTAAGTTATAAAGTGTGCCTCTGGTCAGCAGAGAGAGAAACAGGAAGGTTTGGAGAATCACCAAAAAAGTGAACTCAGGAGGTAGACGCAGTGAAGGGTCAGTTCTGTAGATCTGCTGGGCTGCAGAAACTACTCATCCTAGTGGCAGCAAGAAGAGGTGCAGGGTGATTCCCAAGGACCAAAGCAGATCTGGGGATGTGGCTGGAGTCTGGAGATTATAAAGTCCTCTTAAGGACAGGGAAGTCTGTGTCAGGAATGAGCTGTACCCCAGTGGCTAGATCAGGATTTCCCAGCCTATGAAATGTTACTAGTGCTTTCACCTAAATGTGTAGCACTGACCTTCATGCCTGCATAATGCCTGAATCTCTTACATGTACCAAGTTTTGAGTTCCCACATCCACAACAGAAGTGTTTATCCTGGATGTATTAAATACCAGGATGATAACCTGTGAACTGAGGTGGCGGATAACTTAGACTGAGGAGATGTGAGGGAGAGGTCAGAGCCCTGAGATCTCCAGCCTGCTAGGAATGAAGGGAGGAGCCCCTCTTATGACCACCAGAGACTGTCATTGCAGCTCACCCTGAGGAGACAGCTCCAAAGTGGACTCCTCCAAGGCTTTAATTTCAAGGTAGCTCAGGATTTTTGTGTAGAGATTAATTTTCCCCAACATCTCAGGCCAATAGGAAGCCTCTAACTTTAGCTTCTGGTTAGGTACTGGGCAGACCCTGGCACAGGGGCCGCAGACGTGGTGGGTGAGGCAATGATGGCACAGGTTACTGCTGGGAGATGATTACAGCATCTGGATACCCCCATACACTGTCCATATTCAGACTCCTGAGTTATAAAGGCCCCCAGAATTGTTCCCCTAAGCTCTCAGCCAGGGAAGTGTTCCTTCACAGCAAGAAGGCTGACTCACCATCCAGCTTCACATTCCACGTCATGTGGAAGCCGTTGGTCATCAGGTAAAAGTTCTTCAGATCCTCAGGCAGCACACAGTTATTCTTCTAGAACCACAGAGCAGCTGAGTGTTAGGTCAGGGCTGAAGGAGGGTGTAGGGCTATGCCTCAAAGCACGTGGGAACTATTTCAGATCCCTAAAACTGAGTAATCACCTCTAAAACTGGAGAATTCTGGGATGAGATGGCCACAAAGCAGGCTTCTCGACTCATCTCATGTCACTGACACACAATCCACAGCTATATACTGAACAATAATTCCCTCAGAGAGAAACCCAGAAACTATCTGAGTGACTCCTGTTTACCAAATTGAAAGTCTGTGTGCCCAACGCACAGTGAGGCCCATCAATACTAAAACATTAGAGAAAGACTACAGATTCATTAACAAGATGGGTGGCTCACGGCCTAAGAATCCCACAGTTTCTGAAAGCTTTTAGCAGCCCCTTTAAAAGCAAAAGGTGAGGGCTGGGCGTGGTGAGTTGTTTCAGACTTCTTGTTCAGATCCTTGGTTCCTGAGGTCAGGTCATGATCAGGTAATGATGTCCCTGTTAATCTCTACCAGATGAATGTTCTGTCCTGACCAGGAAGGGCAAAGTTGCAAGGCACAGCTTTCACCGTCCAAGGTCCCAGTCCTGGCTAAGAGGAGGCAGATCTCAGCTGGCAGCTCCTCAGGGCCAGGTTCCCGCCCAGCTGTCATCCCTGAGGAAGTAAGGCACCCAACCCAACCGGCCCTCCGTCTCCTCAGGCTGCCCAAATGGGGAGGCCAGGTGTCAGACTGTGACAGACGGTCACTGCTAGTAGACAGCAGAGACAGCATGTGGGAAGAGGGTCACTGCTGCCTCAAGGCCGGGGCCAGGGCTAGTAGAGGGCCTTACCGAGGGCTCTGGGGCCCTGCAGGACGTAGCCCCTAGTCTGTTTCCTGGGCCCTTCAGCTCACCCGCTGGCCCAAGGCTGGGTGAGCTGGAGGGCCTCCGGAAGGCGGCCTGAATCTGCCTCTTACCTCACTCTCCACCTCATGACCACCACGCTACTGATCACTGACTGAATTACTTCCCCAGTGGTCCCTCACTGACAGTTACCAGTGGGCAGGGCCTACTGTGGTGCTGACCAATAGCTGAGCAGGACAACTAACGGTCTCTCACTGACGGTTGGCTGTGGGCGGGACCCACAGAAGCACTGAGCAACGGCTGAGCAAGGCCTGCTGCCCAGTAACAGGGTGCATAGCAATGAGGCCCAGCATGGCCACCTGCCAAGGGCTGTGCTCATCCTGCTCTGTTACATACCCATTGAGTGAATAAGAAGAAACTTATACTGAAATGGGTATGCGAGGCTGATCACAATCTCACCATAAAATCCACTCTTGGAAGGGTAACACACAACCAGGAGAGGAACTCACAACTCCCAGATTCTCCCTGAGCAAAGGGTTTGGACCCTGCATGTGACACCTCAATTTTTAAGACTTCTATGTGAGAGATGGGCCTCCATAAATCCAGGTGGGCTTGGATCCAAGAGACAAGGCCACAGTGAGCTAAGAAAGAGTGTTCAGTGGGCTCCTATGGACTTACTGTGACAGCAGGATGAGCACAGCCCTTAGCAGGCAGCCGTTGCTGTCTCATTACTCCACACTGCAGCTAGCAGCAGGTCTTGCTCAGCCATTGGTCAGACCTCATTGGTGCCTCAGTAGACGCCCCCCAGCCCAAGCAACCAACTGTCAATGAGTGACCGTTAGGGAAGTGACTCCAGTCAGCTTTCTCACCTTTTGCTTTTAAAGGGACTTGCTGCAAGTTTTTAGTAACTTTGGGGTCTTAAGGCATGAGCCATCCATCTCCTTGTATGAATCTGTAATAAACCGTTCTCTGTTCCAAACTTGAATATTTTAGTATGGATGGGCCTCACTCTGCATCGGGCACACACACTTGTGATTCAGTAACATTACTATGGATATACCCCCAGGGTCCAGTACAGAGACAGTAGAACTAAAATGCCCAGTCTTTTCCTTAAAGAAGCCTATTTGCTTATCTTAAAAGCTTTGGCCTGAGGGGCAGGCTTCTAATTTTAGCACACAATAAGCTGCCAACTGTAATCCTCTCCAGAGACCAGAGAGGCCAGTGGGCACCATACCATCTTCATGCTCTCCTTCTGCCTCATGGATATCTTCTGGAAAGGAGCTTATACACATGCCTGGCACCCCAGGGGCTGCCCAGGGGACACACTTGACGGCCTGGCTCTGCTGGCCAACACAGCTTATGTTCCCAGGTCCCAAAGTGCTCTAATAAACCAGCTACCCCACCAGGGCACGGGGCAGAGGCAGCAGATTGAAATACCCAGTATTTCTGTGAAAAGAGGCCTGTTTGGAGATCTTAACTGTAGTCTGAGAATCAAGTTTATAATTTAACATCTATGGGCCAACTAAAACCCTCTCCAGAGACTGCAAAGGCCAGTGGGGGCCACCTTTGCACTCTCCCTCTGTCCTGCCCCAGGTCACCAGTGTTTCTAGGAAGGAGGCTGTGCAAACCTCTGGTGCTCCAGCTTTTGTGGCTGCTGCTCAGAGGACATGTCCCTTGATAACTGGCTGTGGTGAGCAGCAAGGCTTGTGTTCATGGTGCAACAGGATGGTAGCAAACAAAGGAAAAACAGTTTTTAACGTGCTGTCCACCTAGGGCTCAGTGCAGAGGCAGCAGACAGAATGCCCTCTCTCAGTTCTCCCTGAAAGAGGGCGTACGTGCATATTTTAAGTTACTGTTTGAGTGCCCAGTTTCCAATGAGCCTGCATCAAGGTGCTGAAATTCTCTTCTTTGGGACACTGACAGGTCATATTATACCCTCAACTACTGGGAGCCACTAAGAGCAAAGTAGGCTGAACATTCACAAAGGTCTGATAGACAACCAAGAACCAGGGCAGGATTAAAAAGTTTCATCTCTTACATAAGGTCACTCCACTTCTTCATGACTGGCTGTTGTAGCTAATGCATTGAAATCAACAGAGTGTTAAGAAAGATGAAGAAACAGAAAAATGTATTTCCAGTGAAAGAATTAGATAAAACCCCAAGAAAAGACCTAATGAAATTAAGATAAGTAATTTAAAGATACTCACAGACATCAGGGGGACAATACATGAAGAAAGTGAGAATTTCAACAAAAAGAAAATACTAAGCAGAAATCACAGAGGTGAAGAATATAACAACTGAGCTGAAAAATTCAATAAAGGCATTCAACAGCAGACTAGATGAAGTGAAATAAAGGATCAGTGAACTAGAAGACCGGGTACTAGAATTCATCTAATCAGATCAGCTTTAAACAAAAAACAAAGAGAAAGAGTGAATAGAGTTTAAGAGATTATGGAACAACATAAAGCCAATCAATACTATACACCTTTACAGGGATATCAGAAGAAGAGAGAATGGGGCAGAAAGCTTATTTGAAGAAATAGTGGCTGAAAATTTCCCTAAAGTGGGAAACAGATCCAGGAATCCCAGAGAGTTCCAAAACAGAAGACTCCAAAGAGACATTATAACTAAGTTGTCAAAACTTAATGGAGAACATCTTAAAAGCAGCAAGAGAAAAACAACTTGTTACATACAAGGGAGCCCCCATAAAGCTGTCAGGAGATTTCTAGGCAGAAACTTAGGCAGGCCACAAGATTGTGGCACAATATTTTCAATGTGCTTGAAGAGAAAAGAAAACGTGCCAACCAGGAATATTCTACCTGGAAAAGCTGTCTTTCAGAATTTAAGGAGAAATAAAGTTTTCCATACAAGCAAAAGCTGAGGGAGTTCATCACCACTGGACCTGCTTTACAGTGAACACCACCAGCTTTACAAATGAACATTTGAATGCAGAGTTCCAAAGAACAGCAAGGAGAGATAAGAAAGCCTTCCTCACTGATCAGTGCAAACAAATAGAGGAAAATAATAGAATGGGAACTAAGATCATGGCATCTGGTCCCATCACCTCATGGGAAATAGATGGGGAGACAATGGAAACAGTGTCAGACTTTATTTTTTGGGGCTCCAAAATCACTGCACATGGTGACTGCAGCCATGAAATTAAAAGACGCTTACTCCTTGGAAGGACAATTATGACCAACCTAGATAGCATAAGAAAAAGCAGAGACATTACTTTGCCAACAAAGGTCGGTCTAGGCAAGGCTATGGTTTTTCCAGTGGTCATGTATGGATGTGAGAGTTGGACTGTGAAGAAAGCTGAGCACCGAAAAATTGATGCTTTTGAACTGTGGTGTTGGAGAAGACTCTTGAGAGTCCCTTGGGCTGCATGGAGGTCCAATCAGTCCATCCTAGAGGATATCAGTCCTGAGTATTCATTGGAAGGACTGATGTTGAAGCTGAAACTTCAATACTTTGGCCACCTAATGCAAAGAGTTGGCTCATTTGAAAAGGCCCTGATACTTGGAAAGATTGAGGGCAGGAGGAGAAGGGGACGACATAGGATGAGATGGTTGGATGGCATCACCGACTCGATGGACATGAGTTTTGATAAACTCTGGGAGTTGGTGATGGACAGGGAGGCCTGGTGTGCTGCGATTCAAGGGGTCACGAAGAGTTGGATACTACTGAGTGACTGAACTGAACTTAACTGAACAACAAATATTAAAGGGTCTTCTTTCAAGTGAAACAAAGGGTGATAATTATTGGTAACAGGAAAAAATATGACAATATAAATCTCACAGGCAAAAGTTAAAGTATAGTTAAATTCAGAATAATGTTGTCATGGCAGTGGGTTAATCACTGAGAGACAAAGCATGAAGATTCAAAGACAAAGCAGAAAATAACCACAGTAAAGGTACTAAAGGTGGTGCTTGTGGGAAAGAATCCCCCTGCCAATGCAGGAGACATAAGAGATGTGGGTTCAATCCCTGGCTTGGGAAGATCCTCTAGAGGAGGAAATGGCAACCCACTCCAATATTTTTGCCTGCAGAATCCCCATGAACAGAGGAGCCTGGTGGGCTACAGTCCACAGGGTCAAAAAGAGTTGGACACGACTGAAGTGACTGAGCACGCACACATAGGACACTTAGAAGTATGAAAACACACTATAGTTTAGTGGTAAAAGTAACTATAACTAGAATAATTTGTTAACAGATCCACAAGATGAAAAAATGTAAATTGTGACATCTTTTTAAATGTGTGGTGGGGAAAGTAAAACTGTAAAGCTTTAAAATGCATTCAAACAAGTGGTGATCAGTTTAGATTGCTACATTTAAATATAAGCCTCATGATGACCACAAAGCAAAAACCTATAGCAGACACAAAAAAGATAAAGAGAAAGGAGTCTAAGCACTCCATTACAGAAAATCATCAAATCACAAAGGAAGAAAGCAAGAGAAGGAACAAAATACAAAAGAATTATAAAATAGCTAGAAAACAATGAACAAAATATCAGTAAGGCAGTATCTATCAACAATTATTTCAAATGCAAATGAAATAAATTCTACAATCAAAAAACAAAGAGTGACTGAATGAATAAGAAAGGAGGCCAAATTATGGAACTATGTTTTCTACAAGAGATTCACTTCGGATGTAATAACACATAAACTAAAAGTGAAGGGATGGATGTAAATGAAAATCAAAGAAAGCTGGGATAGTTATACAAGACAAGAGTCCTACAAGAGACAAAGAAGGGCAGTATAAAGGGGTCAATCCAACAACAGGATATAACATTTATAAATATTTATGCCTCCAAGACAGATAAAGCAAATATTAAAAGACCTAAAGGGGAAACAGCAACACAATGGAACAATGGATATAAAGACATGTTAGACTAGACGGACATAACATTTACAGAATATTCTATTGAAAATCGGCAGAATCTAGATTCTCTCAAGTGTACATGGAATAGTTATAACAGATCACAGGTTAGACCACAAAACTATTAACAAAATTAAGACTGACATCATATTGAGTATCTTTTCTGTTCCCAGTGGTATGAAACTAGACTCAATTATAGGAAGGAAACAGGAAAATTCACAAAAATGTAGAATTTAAAAAACATGCCACTGAATAACCAATGGTCAAGGAAGAAATCAAAAGGGAAATTTTTAAAAAACATCCTGAGACAAATAAAAACGGAAATGCAATACACTAAAGCTTACAGGATGCTGCAAAAGCAGTCCTAGAAGGGAATTCATAGCAGCAAGTGCCTGTATCAGGAAATAGGAAAGTTCTCAAGCGAACAGTGCAACTTTACACTTCAAGGAACCAGAGAAAAAGGGATAAACTGAGACCAAAACTAGTACAAGTCACTAGTATTGAGCGACTGTCACTTTCTCTTTTACTTTCACTGGTAGCCTAGTGGTTAAAAATCCACCTTTCAATGCTGGGGATGCGGGTTCAATCCTTGGTTGGGGAACTAAGATCTCACATATGAAATCTCAGTCACTCAGTCGTGTCCAACTCTCTGTGACCCCATTGTGTGTAGCCTACCAAGCTCCTCTGTCCATGGAATCCTCCAGGCAAGAATACTGGAGTGAGTAGCTATTCCTTTCTCCAGGGGATCTTCCTAATCCAGGGATCAAACCTGGGTCTCCTGCATTGACAGGCAGATTCTTTACTATCTGAGCCACCAGGGAAGCCCAGGATCCCACAGGCCATGGGGCAGCAGCCTGTGCACTGCGACTGCAGAGTCCATGGGCCTCAACTAGAGAGCCCATGAGCGGCAGCTACAGAGCCCATGGGCCGCACTGAAAGATCCCACGTACCTCAACTAAGACCTGATGCAACCAAAATACAAACACACACTAAAAACACCATATAATCATCTCAACAGAGGTCAAAAAAGCATTTCACAAAATTAAACTCCATTCATGATTAAAAAAAAAACCAAAAAGCCTCTCAACATGTAGGTAGAGAGGAAACATAAGTTAGCCTACAGGAAACATCATATTGATGGGTTAAAAGCTAAAAGCTGTTCCACTAAGATCAGGAAGACAAGGATGGCCATTCCTGCTAAGTTTATTCAACACAATATTGCAAATCCTAAGCAGAGAAATTAGGCAATAAAAAGAAACAAAAGGCATCCAAATCAGAAAAGAAGTAACATTATCACTACTAGCAGATGACATGGTATTACATAGAGAAAATCCTAAAGACTCCCCCAAAAAACTTTTAGAACAACAAATGAATTAAGTAAAGCTGCAGGGTACCAAATCAATATAAAAATTTTGTTGCTTTTCTACCAAGAATAACCACCTATCAGAAAGAGAAATTAAGAAAACAATCTAAAAAAAGAAAAAGAAAACAATCTTATTGACAATTGCATCAAAAAGAATGAAATAGTTAGGGATAAGTTTCACCAAGGAGCTGAAAGACCTGCACACTTAAAACCTACAGGAACCTGGTGTCACAGAGACGCTACAGTTCTGATGATGCTATAACAAAGCAATCACTTCTGTAAATTTCAGAACCATGCTCATAACTTATTTCCTGAAACAAATTGTTGGATCAGTGAGAACTGATTAAAGTAAAAAGTATATACGTCTAGAGATTTAATGCAATGAATTTAATAGTTCTGAAACTTCTTAAAAAGAAGCACAATAGAATATAAACAAATATTTCATATGAATAGCAAATCATCCAAAAAAGCTGTGATTCCTTTCAGGAGGTACTAGGAGCACCCATTAAATTCTAAGTAACTGACACTTCTGCATGCATCTGGCCAGTCTTTTCTGGCCAATCAAACTACTGAACACAGAAGGATGAGTTCTCTAATTACTTTTCTTTCTTCTTGTCATGTTTATACAGGCAGAGGGGTAATTTCCAAACTTTCTGCTTACTGGACCCTTTTGAGATGTGATACTGAACACTGCTTGTATCAGGTTTGTTTAGGTCACACTGTCAGTCAATTCCAGGTACCCAATGTGTGAAGAAGTTGAGTGTAACAGGACGATCTGAATTTATTTCCCAAATCTGCAACAAGCTGAATGACCCTGACTGTCAAACTTTGTGAATCCAGGTTTAAAAATAATCTCTAAAACTGAGTCTATAAAAGACTGGAGGTGGAAAAAAAAAAAAAAAAAAACTAGAGGATGATAAAGTCAGAGCAAGACCACTGTCAAGAAGTGGAATTGCTGCCCTTCAAGCAAGGCAACATCATCCTTGCCTTTTGCTTTTGTTTTTTTAAGCCAATCACTGCTTCTGCAACTAAGCCCTGGGCAACAGGGCTCTCTCCCTGAATGCCNCCTGGTGGCTCAGTGGTAAAGAATATGCCTGTCAACGCAGGAGACGTGGGTTCAATCCCTGGGTCAGGAAGATCCCCTGGAGAAGGAAATGGCAACCCAGTACAGTATCCTTGCCTGGAGAATCCCATGGACACAGGAGCATGGTGGGCTATAGTCCATGGGGTCACAAAAGAGTCAGACACAACTTAGTGACTAAACAACAACAATATAAGAGCTGTCATTTTAAAGAAACAGGATTTTCATTTTCTTGATCTAGTCACTTTTTTTTTTCTCTCTCTTCACCATCAAGTTCTCAATTTCAGAGATGGGTAACATAAAGAATTCTCTGACTCCTTGCACTAAACATTTTTTTCCTGCTTAGTAAGTTATTTCAAGTTTACGGCTTTCTCCTAATGCCTCCAGTATTGCACAGTCTGTGCTTTCTGAGAGAAAAGTGTGCATGCAAAATACCTTTCTCCTGACCCATGGCACCCTAGTACAGGAAGTCGATAGTTATCAGTATTCTGACAAAGTTCTTGCTCCTTCTGTCTTCCCCAAAGGTCAGCATCAATATGAGATGCTGGTCACTAGTGCCATCTAATGGTGGACACAAGGAACCTACTTCTCAACCCAGATTCCGTAAGATCCCCGCCGAGAAGGTCTGGGGGCACTGTTCACCTTTAACTTCTGCTGGAGAACTTCAATAGTAGTGACTATAACACACAGTATTTATTTCACTCAAAAAAGAAATTTTGGTATTATTTTATACTAGTACTTTAAAAACCTACTCAAAATTCATAAAAATAGAAAACAGTGAAATAAAGTGTTTAAAACATCTCAAATACTCACATAAATAAGCAAAATGTCAAGCAGACCAAGTTCAGAGAAACAGTGAACATGCTCTCGTTTTCACAGAAATCACTGTGGCCTCAGCTGGGCCGCCTCCTTGCTGTGGACCTTACCCCTGGGGGCCCAAGTGGCGGCTCCTGCAGTACTTCCAGCCTTTCCTTCCGAGCGCGGCTTCCAGGGCGGAAGCCACCTTTATTTTTACTTAAAACATTAAAAAAAATTTTGTTAATAAATTTATTAATTACATCATTCTTTATTGTAAGAGCGCTTTGTCATGAGCAGTGTGATATAGAAGACTGACCTAATTATCATTACTTTCTTTATGCTTGGCTGAGTAACTGAAGTCTCCAGTTGCTTCAGTGAGGGCAGATGAAGGAGAAAAACACGGAAGAGCCTGCAGATGTCAACCGATTCCACATGGCGGAGGCTGGCTGTGGGAGGCAACAGGTGTTCTGTGGACACGGGGCTGAGCTGCAGGGGCATCACGTGTGGGTGGCTCCTATGCCCTGGCCGGCAGCTCAGAGATACTGCCGTTTTCATTTCTCTCCTGCACAATGTGGGAAGAGACTGCTCTTCTGCAGGGAGAGATCTACTCACTTCAGAAGGGTTCTCTTGCCAGATTTAGGGTCAGTCTCTATTTTTAGGGGATGAAAAAGAAGGGGAAGGAGGAAGACTGGCAGAAAGCAAATGGCAGTTGAAGTGTAAGGATGAGAGAGGATCCGAGAGAAAGTCAGGAAGGGAGAATAACTCTGCTGACCAGTGTGTGAAGTAAGAGAGGCATCCCCCCGGGACTGCAGTCTCCCTTTATCCCAGTGATGACTCGGTTACATAATTCCCAGCTTCTGATTTTTTTCCTGCCTCCTGAGGAGGCTATTTACAATAATTTCTTTAAGCTCTGCTAGAAAGTCCACCACAAGCTGTGTTACTGCTTTATCACCTGGACGGACTGAGCCACTGTGATGTTTTGGGAGTCATCAGCTTGATTCCTGGAGCCTTCCTGAGCCCGTCTATGGTCTCCTGCTCACTTGCTGTACTTGTGAGAATCCTGTGCCCCATCGTTCCCTGTCTTCCAGAGGCCACTTCACTAGGGGGTGGGGGCGGCTGGGGAGGGAGGATCAGTTCAGCAAAGAGCCACAGCCAGAACATGGAAATCATTGTTTCCGTAGGTGCTTATCCACAGTGGGCAGGCTCCTGTGAGCCCATGTGCAACAGAAGCAGAGGAAGGGCTGCCCAGAATGGCCACTGAGGAGGAGCACTGAGACCTACCTGGAAACTGAGGCAGGGACGCCTGCACCTACTGAAACTCCTCCAGGGGAAGGGCTGTGGAAGGATGGGGTGAGATCCTGGAGAACTCTCCATTGCACTCTCAAACTCCTTCCTAAGGAGAGGGGAGGCCTGGTTAACCAGAACCTGTTGTCTTGGTGGCTGGGGTATCCAAGTTTGGGGACAGAGCTGAGTTGCTGAAGACTCAGAGGAGAGGCAGCCACGCTTTCTCCATACAACCATCAGTCTCCCTCTCAAAATACACGTAAGGCTGAAAGTTTTATTTCTGTTCTTAGTTTTGAAGAGATGGGGAAGACCCTCTCAGGCAGCTGCTGGTCTGGAGAGAGGAAGTGAGGCACTGGAGAGCGGGAGGGGGACTTAGCTGTCACAGGAGAACTGTGGGGGCAGAGTGAGTGCACAGTGTGAGGGGCCATCGTGACAAGCTGCTGCAGGCTGCTCTCTCCCATCTGGGATGCTGACAATGCATTCAGAGCAGGGGCATGTGAGGGCCACATCTGCAAGAAGGTTCAGAACCCACCCTGAAGACTGTAGAAAAAGTGAGGCTAAAAAGAGAGGGGATGATGTTCTGCCAAACTGCTCTCTTGGGCCATAGTTTCACCATTAGTAAACTGAATTTTTATCTGGAAATTGAAAAGTCTAACCAATCAAGAATTGTACTGCACCCTGGAATTATGAAATGTCACTGAAATATTTAAAAACAGAACCCTCCTGACCCTGGGATGCTATGAAAATTGAGACAGACGCCTTCACAGTGCACAAAAGATGAAAAGCTTGGTGCAGACATTCCACGAACTACCATCATTATAAAAGGCAGATTGCAGGCACAGGGAATGTGAATCATAAAACTGCACAAAACCAAGCAGATTGAAACTATTGTTTAAAGAACAACAACAAAAAAAAGGTGAGATACATTAAAATAAAAAGACATTGTCCATTTTTTTTTTTCTAGTTTTAGGAGAATGCAGCAGGTATAGATAGCCATTTAGGGTTTAGTTTTAACCTTTTCTTCCTACATTTGCAGCAAAGAATCATGAAATATTAGAAGTGGATGAATCTTTCTATAGCTCTAAACAAGATGGCAGGGTAAAAGGATATGGAACTCACCTCCTCCCACAAGTACATCAAAAATACATCTACAAATGGAACAGTTCTCTCAGAACCCCTGCTGAACACTACCAGAAGACCTCAAACCCCTGAGAGGACATGAAAGAGCCCCATGTAACCAGGTAAGAAAAAAGAAAAGAGAAGGGGAGCAGGATGGGACCTGCACCCCTGGCGGGGGGAGTGTGGGGGCAAGAGGAAAGGTTCCCACGGGATGAAGCCACTTCAGCAGCAGGGAGAGGAGCCGGGACAGAGAGCGAGCTTCAGAGGCTCAGAGGAGAACCCAGCAATCAGGCTGCGAGAGGCAGGACAGAGCAAGACTTGCAGAGGGCCCGCACCACTGCCTGCGCGCCCTAGCCTGAGACGCAGGTCTGCTGGTGTGAGTGGGGCTGGCACTGGAACCTGGGGAGCAGAGAGCAGATGCAGGAAGGGGACTGCTGCTGGCTGTGCAGAGATAGCCTGAAAGGGCTGGAGTGTGGTACAGCTGCAAACGGAGGTGTTCACGGAAGAAACCCAGGTGGGCAACAGAAGCAAAGCGCCACTGTTAAGCGGAGCATGAAGTGGGGGGCGAGGCTGGCATCATAGCTTCTTTCTCTGTACTGGCCCCGCTTCCACGGGCCCTGTGAGAACATGTCTTCCTAGCTGCTGCCTCAGGGCCTCCCGCCTCCAAAGGCTCTTGTGGCCCAGTCACCATTTTGGGGGTGCTGAGAGTAAATGCCAGCAGGTTGCCCACTTGCAGAGGTGGGGCTAAAACCACAGCTGAGCCTCAGAAGCCATGAAACTTGGGAAGTAGGGCTGAAATCTAACCCTGTGGTTGTGCAAGCCACAACCTTACACCTCTGCCACTGGCTCTGTAAATTCAGTGCCTGTAGGACATCAGTGTGGACGCTGGGTGTGTCCAGGGCTGGAACGGGGGTGGCCTCAGCGGTCAGGGGCTTTGTGGGCATGTGCCCCGGGGACTGGGCTGGGCCAGAGTCTGCACTGCCTTTGTAGCTCCCGCCGGGCCCAGATGAGTGATGGATGTGGCCCCGGGACCTGACTCTGGTTGATCTGCATCGGTGGTCCTGTGGAAACAATGCCTGGGGGACCCCAGGGCCGGTTGCTGGCATTCCCAAGGTTGAGATGGGGCCCAGGGCAGTGCTGGCAACAGTGTACTTCGTAAGGTGGCAGAGGAGGTGCCAGGTGACATGGCAAAGCACACTCACGCGGGGAACAGCTCTGGCTCGTCTCCCAGTGCGAGGGCTCCAATCCCATCTACCTCCCCCCAGAGCTCAGAAACGGATCTGGGGCTTCCACTCCAACAGCGGGAGAACAGACCCAGCTCCCGACAGGGCGGCAACAACCGAAGAGCAAGGAGGAAGCCCTGATCAATAACCAGGCTCTGGCCGCCACACCACCAGTCACTCCTCCTATCAAAGGGACAGTGGCCAGCATACACTGAGGAAAGAGACAACAGGAATCAACACCAAAAACAGCTCTCACATCAAAAAGTATTAAATCTACACAGGCTACATAGGGATGCTCCTCCATACAAATAGCCCTCCAAGACCACAATAGATAATTGTTTCTCCTAAACTCATATAGCAAGAGAAATATAAGCAACATGAAGTAGAGGAACCACTCTTGAATAAAAGATCAAGAGAATTCCCCTGAAGGAACAAGCAATGAAACAGACCTCTTCATTCTAATAGACAATGAGTTCAAAAAGGAGATAATAAAAATACTGAAGAAGTTAAGAAGGACTATTGAGAGAAATGCACATTACTGTAAAAGGAAACTAGAAACTATAAGGAGGAGCCAAGAAAAATTAGAAAATTCACTCACTGAGACAAAAGCTGAGCTAAAGGTAATGAAAAGCTGAATGAATAATGCATAAGAATGAATAAATGATCTGGGAGATAGAATAATGGAAATCACCCAGTCAGAACAACAGACAGAAAGCCAAATTTTAAAAAATGGAAGCAATATAAGAGACCTATGGGATAATACAAAGTATGCCAATGTACACATGATAGGAATCCCAGAAGGAGAAGATAAAGAAAAGGGGATTGAAAGCGTATCTGAACAAAGTGTGACTGAAGACACCCCGAACACAAAGAAGGAAGCAATATCCAGGTACGAGCAGCACAGAAGGTCCCACACAAGGGAGAGCAAGCAGACCTCCACCAATACATGATAAAGACGGCCGAAGATGAAGGCACAGTTCTAAAGGCATCGAGGGAAACACAAAGAGTTAATTACAAGGGAACCCCAACAGGGCTACCAGCTGATTTCTCTACAGAAACAGCTGCAGGCCAAAAGGGAGTCGGGCAAGATATATTCAAAGTCCTGAAAGGGAAAAATCTGCAATCTAGAATCCGCTGCCCAACAAGATTGTCATTTAGAATAGAAAGAGAGATTAAGGATTTCTCAGATAAGCAAAAATTCAAAGACTATAGCAATACTAAACCTATCTTAAATGAAATATTAAAAGATTTTCTCTAAATAGAGAAAGTAGTAAGAATCTACAGGAAAGAGTAAATCACTTAAATAAGCCAGTACACTGATTTTAAAAATAAAGTAAAAAATTTCTGTAAAAGCGGTAAACACAATGAACAGCAAAAGGATGAATATGAAGATGTAAAAGAGGATCAAAATCATAAAATGTGGGAAATAAGAGTAGGAAAATGTAGATCTTTTTTTCCAAGAATGTGTTTCAGTCTATATGACTACAAGTTTAAGGAGTTAACAAACTTGAAAACAGGATAACTACAAAGCAAAAACATACAATGCATTCACAAAAACCAAAGAGAAGAGAACATAAGTGTAAAACAAAAGAAAATCATAAAACTACAAAAGAAAAAACAGAAATGGACAAAGAAGAAATATAAAATCAGGAAAATTTAAATATGAAATATAAAAACATGAAAATAGGGTTTAATATGGCAACTACATATCTATCAATAACTACCTTAAATGTCAATGGGCTAAATGCTCCAGTCAAAAGGCACAGAGTGGCATATTAAATAAAAAAATAAGAGACTACAATATGCTGTCCACAAGAGACCCACTTTAGGGCAAAGGGCAAACACAGACTGAAGTGAGGGGAAGAAAAAAGACATTTTGTGCAAATGGAAATTATAAGAAAGCGAGGGTCATAAAACTCCTATCAGGCAAAATTGACTTTAGATCAAAGGCTACAGAGAAAGATAAAGAAAGACACTACATAAAGATAAAAGGATCGATACAAGGATAGGATATTATACTCGTTAACATGTATGCACCCAACCTATGTACTGTACGCTCATGCTCAGTCATGTCTGACTCCTTGCACACCCAATATGATGTTGCTGCTCAGTCGCCAACTTGTGTCCGGCTCTTCGTGACCCCACAGACTGCAACACACCAGGCTTCTCTGTCCCTCACCATCTCCCAGAGTTTGCCCAAGTTCATGTCCAATGAATCAGTGATGCCATCCAACCATCTCATCCTGTCACCCTCTTTTCCTTCTGCCTTCAATCTTTCCCAGCATCAGGGTCTTTTCCAATGAATCAGCTGTTTGCCTCAGGCGGCCAAAGAATTGGAGCTTCAGCTTCAGCATCAGTCCTTCCAAAGAGTATTCAGGGTTGATTTCCTTTAAGACTAACTGTTTTGATCTCCTTGCTGTCCAAGGGATTCTCAAGAGTTCTCCAGCACCACAGTTTGAAAGCATCAATTCCTTAGTGTTCTGCCTTCTTTACTGTCCAGCTCTCACATCTGTACATGACTACTGCAAAGACCAAAGCCTTGATTATATGGACCTTTGTCAGCAAAGTCATATCTTTGCTTTGTCACACAATGTCTAGGTTTGTCATAGCTTTCCTGCCAAGAACCAATCATCTTATAATTTCATGGCCATACTCATCATCTGCAGTAATTTTAGCACCCAAAACACCCAATATAGAAGCACCCAAATACATAAAAATACTAACAGATTTAAAGGGAGAAGTTGATGGTAATACAATAATAGTATGGAACTTTAACACCCTACTCACATCAATGGACAGATCTTTGAGAGAGAAAATCAACAAGGTAACAGAGATCCTAAATGACAAAATAGAACAGTTATATTTAATTTATATTTCCAGGACATTTCATTAAAAAAAAAGCAGAATACACATTCTTTTCAAGTGCACATGGAACATTCTCTAGGACTGATTACACCCTAGGGCACAAAAGAAGCTTCAATAAATTTAAGAGTATAGAAATTATTTCAAGTATCTTTTCTGACCACAATGGCATGAAACCAGAACTCAACCACAGAAAAAGAAATGAGAAAAAAGAAGTTCTATGGAAACTAAACAATATGCTATTTAAAAACCGACAGGTCAACAATTAAAGAAGAAATTAAAAAAAAATAACTTGAGGCAAGTGACAATGAAAACACAACTATACAAAATCTATGGGGTGCAGCAAAAGCAGTTCTTAGAGTGAATTTCATATCAATACAGGACTTTAAGAAACAAGAAAAATCTCAAACAACCTAATCCACCACCTAAAAGAACTAGTTAAAGAAGAACAAACAAAACTTAAAGTCAGCAGAAGGAAGGAAATAATAAACATCAGAGAGGAAATAGAGACTAAAAAACAATAGAAAAAAATCAATAGGGGAGGGGGGACTGGGATGGGGAATACATGTAAATCCATGGCTAATTCATTTCAATGTATAACAAAAACTACTGTAATGATGTAAAGTAATTAGCCTCCAACTAATTAAAAAAAAAAAAATCAATAGAAACCAAAGAGCTGGTTCTTTTAAAGGTTAAACAAAACTGACAAATATCTGGCCAGGGTCACCAAGAAGAAAAGAGAGAAGATTCAAATAGTGAAAATAAGAAAGACAAAAAAACTATGAGAACATTTATATGTCAATTATATGAACACTATACGTCAACAAATTTGGCAACCTAGAAGAAATGGACAACTTTCTAGAAACACACAGCCCACCAAAACTGAATCAAGAGGAAATAGGTGACTTGAAAAGACCAATCACTAGAAGTGAAATAGAATCTGTAATTAAAAAAAAACAAAAAAACAAAACCTCCCTACAAGAAAGTCCAGGGCCAGATGGTTTCACAGCGAGTTTTACCAAACATGCAAGGTAGAACTTACATAGATCCTTATCAAACTGCCAAAAGATCGAAGAGGAAGGAACACTCCAAAGACATTCTAGGAAGTCACCATCACCTGATACCAAAACCAGACAAAAGTAGTACAAAAAGAAGAGAAAATTATAAGCCAATATCTTTGATGAATATAAATGCAAAAATTCTCAACAACATATTAGCAAACCAGATCCAGTAATACATAAAAAAGACCATATACCACAACAAAGTTGGGTTCATCCAAGGATTAAATCATACAAGGATGGTTCACCATATGCAAATGAATCAATGTGATACACTACACAGCAAAAGGAAAGATAAAAACCACACAATCATCTCAATAGATGAAAAAAAGCATTCAATGAAATTAAATATCCAGTCATGATAAAAATTCTTACCAAAGTGGGTACAGAGGGAACATATTTCAACATAATAGAAGCTATGTACGACAAACCCATGGCTAGTACTATACTCAACAGTGAAAACCTGAAAGCATCCCCACTAAATTCTAGAAGACAAGGATTCCTATTCTCACTACTTCTATTCAACACAGTATTGGAAATCCTAGCCAGAGCAATCAGACAAGGAAAAGAATTAAAATTCAAACTGGTGCTTGTGAAGTCACTTCAGTCATGTCTGACTCTGTGCGACTCTATGGATTGTAGTCTGCCGGGCTCCTCTGTCCATGGGATTCTTCAGGCTAGAATACTGGAGTGGGTTGCCATTTCCTCCTCCAGGGAATCTTCCTGACCCAGGGATCGAACCTGCATCTCTCACATCTTGTGTTGGCAGGTGGGTTCTTTACCACTAGTGCCACCTGGGAAGCCCATTTCAAATTGGTAAGGGAGGGATAAAATTGTCATTATATGCAGATGGCATGATACTATATACAGAAAACCCTAAAGACCACACAAAACAAGACTGGGATTGATAAACAAATTCAGTAAGGTAGCAGGACACCGGAATCAGTTGCATTTCTTTAAACAGACGATGAAATATCTGAGAAGGGAACGTAAACAGTCCCTTTGAAAGTCACATCCAAAAACAAAAAAATGCTTAGGAATAACCTCATCAAGAAAGTGAAAGACTTATATGCTGAGAACTACAAAACATTAGTGAAAGAAACCGAAGATGATTCAAAAAACTGCAAAGTTATCCCATACTCTTGGTTTAGAAGAATTAATATGGTTAGAATGGCTATACTACCCAAGTGCAATCCACAGAGCCAATCTGATCTCTATCAAATTACCCAAGACATTTTTCACAGTGCAAGAACAAATAGTTCTAAAATTTATTTGGAACCATAAAAGATTCAGAATTGCCAAAGCAATCCTAAGGAAAAAGAACAAAGCAGGAGGCATAGCCCTTCTAGACTTCAGACAATACTAAAAAGCTACAGTAATCAAAGCAGTGTGAGACTGGCACAAACACAGACATGTGGATCAATGGAGAATAGAGAGCCCAGAAATAGACTGCACACCAGCAGATAATTAATCTTTGATAAGGGAGGCAAGACTATAAAATGGGGAAAGACAGTCTCTTCAGCAAGTGGTGTTGGAGAAATGGAACAACCAGCTGCATGTAAATCTGTGAAGTTAGGACACACCCTCAGATCATACACAAAAAAAAAACTCAAAATGGCTTACTGACTTAAAACTGTAAGACACGACATAACAAAACTCCTAGAAGAGAATATAGGCAAAACATTCTCTGAATAAATCATGCCAATGTTTTCTGAGGTGTCCCCAGGCAAAAATAAACAAATGAGACCTAATCAAATTTAAAAGTTTTTGCATAGCAAAGAATACCATAAACAATAGGAAAAGACAACCCAGGTACAAACTGGGAGAAAATATTTGCAAATGCTGCGACCAACAAGGGCTCAATTTCCAAAACATACCAAGAGCTCACACAACTCAATAACTACAACAACAAAAAAACCCAGGGACTTCCTTGGTGGTCTGGTAGTTAAGAATCTGCCTGCCAATGCACAGGACATAGGTTCCACCCTTGGTCTGGGAAGATCCCACGTGCCTCAGAGCAGCTGGGCCCGTGACCCACAGCTACTGAGGCTGCGTGCTGCAATTACTGCAAAGCTTCCCCCAACTCAGTATGGCTGAAGAAAATGGCCCATTGGCTATCTCAGTTAGTTAGAAATCTATTTCTCTCATGTATACCCTTTAATTCTTCCAGTCTGATGACGGCTATTTATCCAGCTCTACATCTGTAATCTCCTCAATATCAGTCTAAGCTAACTGGGAACTCAAAAAAGTTGCACTGTCCAGGAGGCAGATTAGTTCCCAGTGTCACTAGATATAAAAAGCAGTCATGGAAGGCATGCTACAAATGAATAAACCAAGATATCATAAGTAAAACTGGAAAAATGCACCAAGTCATCTTAGAGAATTCTGGGAAATATCTGGTATAAGACACAAGAAGACTATGCCTCAAAAACTACGTCAATAAATAAGTGACATAATATGACACAGCTTTAATGGTGTTCCACCCCAGAAAATGCATTCCTGTCCTCTCATCCTCCCATCCTGACCTTTGAACCTGGATTTCTAAGCTAGGAATCTCCTCTTCAGCAGACAGAAAAACTTAATGTTCTCATTCTTACTGAGTTCCAAGGCAGTTCTCCCTAAAGGCCTGACCCAAACCTTTTAAGAATCAGAAGGAATGTAATCCACGAGGTCTACAGGCCTGGCTGGCATAGCCACAGCTGTACCAGCACCATCAGCTAGTAAGAGCTTAACAGTAGACGTTGCTCTGGAATTTCGTTTTCTCTCAGGTACTGTGAGTAAAAATGGGAGCGGGAGCTGAGTGAGTCCATGCTAAGAGCTGAGGTGCTGCTGAGCAGAGGTCATGGAGAGAAACCTTAATTACCAACTACTGATATGCCAGTGAAGCCACTGCTCTGCCCTGGGAGGGTGGGAGCTCTTCGCAGGGACTGACCATGCCCACATGCCTGGGGGCTGCTTGGCTGGCGAGGGCAAGGCTGCCATGGTGTTCCCTCCGTAGGAGGGGTAGTCTGGTAGAGCAGCAAGGGCGTGTGCTTAGGGGCAGACAATCCAGGCTCTGCTACTTGGTGGCTATGTGGCCCAGGACAAAGTCTTTGACCTCTTTGACCCTCAGATTTTTCATCTATAACACAGAGATAGCGACACTGATCTTGCCAGGGCTATTATGAGGATTAAATGAAATAATTCACCTGATACGGCAGCAGCACTCACTCAGTGACAAGGTGACCTAGTCAGATCCCTTTGCTGCTTGCTACTCAGCCACAGTTACTTTCCAAATTAGAAATCTGACTTCTCTACTTAAAGCATTTCGGTGGCTTCCCTTGGTAAATGGAAAGAACAAAGTCCTGATGATCTGAGAAGTCCTGCATGTCCTGGTCCTGTCCACCTCTCTCCTCCATTCTCCTGTGCCCTAGACATGCGGGCCCTCTTTATGCCCTCAAAAGTGTAATCCTTCCTATCCTGAAGCCTTCACACAGGCTCAAAGCATCTTCACATATCTCATCTATCTGGTTAACAACTTTTCATAACTTCTTTGGGAAAAATATTCCTCAACCTCCAGACTAGGTCAGGCCTCCTGACAATGTTCCCTTAACCTCTCTTTCACAGAGCTTGATCTGCTTTGTAATTATACTTGGGATGACTTATACTATGTCTCAGACAAGATCAAGAGGTAGGAAACTGTGTTCTTTATTGATTACCCCGAATCTCTAGGGCTCAACATCAAGCACAATGCCTGGCCCATTTTATGAGATTAAATCTTTTACTGAATAAATGAATGAATGAAAGTTCAGAGGAGGGTTGGAAAGCATTCGCTATTAATCGGGTTAGTACTTCTCTGCAACACTTAACCACGTTCTGCCCAGCATGCTTATTAATATTTAATTCCTTCTTTCCTAGGTGGATTTTCAGCTTTGTTGTGTACATATACAACTTCAAATGTTCCACTGCCTCCTTAAGACAGGCTCAGAGGAGATGCTCCATGTTGGAGAGATGGCATGGAATGGAAGGGAGTGTTAAAAGCCCTGAACAGAGACAGAGAGAAAGATGAACTCTAACTTGAAGGTGGCTGTGGCCTGAGGTAAGAAAAAGTCTCTTGTCCACTCTTTCCTTCTCAGGGGCATTTAAGTTGACCACTCATTGTTGGGAGGTGAGGATTCAACAGGGTGACACTTACTTGTTCCCATGAAGAAATCATATGACGTTCAGCAGGTAGTTTTTCTATGATGGTCACCTCTGTCACACCTGGGGATGATTCTGGAAGAGGAAGCAGAGAGTAGAGTAGTTGGTCCATTCTCACATATTTCTACCAGAAAGGGTGATGAACTGTTGAAGTCTGCTCTAGGAATACCAGATCCCTCTGAGGAGCATTTGTTACTCCTGTAATAAAAGCAGCTGGTCCCTCAAAAGCAGTCGGTCCCATAAGCTAAGACCATGTAGTCTTCTAATGATAATTATACCAGTATCCTTTTCACGTATCAAAGTTTTCCTCAAGTTTTCAGAAGAGTCAAATCTTGGGATGCAGCATCAGCCCAATACACTAGCTAAGAAATCGGGACTCCACCATCCTAGTCACGCTTTATGCACTCACCAGCTGTGTGGCCTTAGAGGAGTGCTCACTTCCTTCTGCACTCAGTAAGACAAGAATTACAACAATACTTTCCTCAATAAGTGAAGTAAAAACAGCAATGAAGAAACAGAAGAGGACACGGAAATGAAGATACTTTGGAAAAGTAAAAAGCACCATATACACAATTTTTCTTCTGCCTTCTGTTCAAGGATCTTTCTAACGTGCTGGGAAGCACGGTACTGTGGTAGAAAACCAGTGAGCTTCAAGCCATTTGACCTGGGGTGAGTCCTTGCTATGCACCCTGACTGGTTAGGATGGAAGACACTGTTTTATCCCTTTAAGGGTGGCCTCATTTGGCACTGTTCCACCAAAACTAAGACAGTAGATAATAAATGCCATTATCAATTTTACAGCAAGGACACTGAGGTTGAGAGGTTAAACCACAAAGCCAATCCTCTGACTCCAAGCATGGGTCTAGTTGAAAAATGAAGAATATGTTCAAAAGTCACTACATGCCCCCTGGCATAGCCCGTTACAACAATCATCCTATGCAAATGCAGAGTCTAGCTTTAATTAGTCTTGGCAACCCACCACCCACCTGCAATAGGACTGAAGAATATAGAATTCTTGGCCTACAACACAGCTGGTTACTAGAGATGTCATCTGACTATACTCAGCGTGATCTAAGGCCTAGGGCTACAAGAAGACACACATATAATGTAAGTACCTAACATTAAGTTTTGCTGAGGAATCCGTTTCAAATACATTCATCTTGAATAAACAAATTGCCAGTTGTATGACACAGTTACTAAACAACTAGATGAGGAATAAGGCCACCCCCCACTCACAAAGTTCCCCTTTTAGAAAGCCCTAGGTAACCTGGATAACTGACTACTTGAATGAGCCACCTTTTCCCTTCAGGTGTCCCAATTTCCCCTCTTAAGTTTTAAATCCACCAATAAAGTGTAAACCTGCAGAACCCTAGACACCCAACTCTGGGGCCCTAACAAAGGCAAAGATCCAGGTCTGCTCACTCACTCCCAGCTATCTGGCTGTGGGCATACCATGTACCCTCCAGGACCTGTGTATAATAAAAAAAATTTTTTTTCAAGATTCCCCAGTGATTGCTGCTGTGGTGTATCTTGAGTCATAACAAAAGCCACAATGTTTGGTCCAATCACATCAGCTTCAGCCCAGGAAATGTCTGTGGGGCTCGTCCAAGTAGTACAGGCCTAGGTGAGTGCCTCAGGTATTCCCAGCCAACAGCAACAGTATCAGTAAGTAGGCTGAGGGAGACACAAACACACCACTCTTCAGCTTGTAACAGACCTATGTGGAAGGGCCACAGGCTCAGACAGAACTGTTGTGATGTAACACAGATGACAACATATCATTTTTAATCTTTGCACATCTCCAGGATAGGACAACATACTGACTTTAAAAACTTTCATATAACAAGTTGCTTAGGAAGTACCCACTGCAGAGACTCTGCTATCCAGTACTTTAGCACTGATGAGGAGGTATGGGGGTGAGGAAGACAGGGACACACAATAAATTCTACTTCTATAATGCTGTATTTCTGGGAACTGGTGTAAGTTATCTCACTGACTCAACAATCGTGTGAAGCAGGCATCATTACTTTGTTTTAAAGATAAGGAAACAGGTTTGGTGATATTAAATTAATCATTTCACAGAACTCAATCTCTGATCACAGGTGCAGGTACCAAGCCTACTGTTTTCTCTACTGTATTGCCTGAGTAGTTAATTCCAACATGAGGGAAAGTTTTCTTCACACCACCAAGCAATTCTCAGACAGCAGCTGAATGTTCTACAATTCAACGCAATCCTGACTCTACCAGGAGAAAGCCTCACATGCCACAGGTTAAGAGCTCATTCCCACAAGCCTGCCCTTACTCCGGATGCTAACTGTAGGTCTAGGTTGTTATCTGTGCTTCTGACGGATTGGCTATAAATCAAGAGTTCTTATGATCTTTCCCTTGGGTTTGATGAGTTTGATACAGGGGCTCACAGAACTCAGGAAACCCATTTACTCACTGGAATACTGGTTTATTTTGAAGGCTACTGCAGATCAACAGGGAATAAGATATGTAGAGCTGGGTCCTGAACAAAGGGGCTTCTGTCCTTGTCGAGTTTGGGGCCTGGCACAGTGGCATGAGCAAGTGACTGGTTAACAGACTGGAAGCTCCCTGCACTCTTTCCTTTTGGTTTTTTATGGAGGCTTCATTACACAAGCATGCTTGACTAAATAACTGGCCATTGGCAAATGACTCAACCTCCAGACTCTCTCTCCTCCATGTAAATCAGGTGGGGGAGTGAAAGTTCCAACCCTCTAATCCTGGTTGGTTCCCTTGGGAACTGGCCCCATCTTTAGGTTACACGAGGGCTTTCCAAAAGTCACCTCATTAACAAAAGGCACAACAAAAGGCACCTTCTTTTATCACTTAGGAAATTCCAGGGGTTTTAGGAACTCTGTGCCTGAAGCAGTGACAAAGTCTAAATATATATTATAAAACTTTACCACAGATAACCAAAACATCATAAGGATATTTAGGAATAATAGCAATAACAAGTTGTGTTTGGTTTATTATTAATAATATGTGACATGAGAAGTAGTATCTGACCCAGTTCAGATGCTCAGTTGTGTCTGACTCTGCTTCCCTGTCTGTCACCAACTCCTGGAGCTTACTCAAACTCATGTTCATTGAGTTAGCGATGCCTTCCAACCATCTTATCCTCTGTCATTCCCTTCTCCTCCTGCCTTCATTCTTCCAAGCATCAGGGTCTTTTCCAATGAGTCAGTTCTTCACATCAGATGGCCAAAGTATTGGAGCTTCAGCTTCAGCATCAGTCCTTCCAATGAATATCAGCAATGATTTCCTTTAGGATGGACTGGTTGGATCTCCTTGCAGTCCAAGGGACTCTCAAGAGTCTTCTCCAACACCACCATTCAAAAGCATCAATTCTTCGGCACTCAGCTGTCTTTTTGGTCTAACTCTCACATCCATACATGACTACTGGAAAAACCATAGCTTTGACTATACACACCTTTGTCAGGAAAGTAATGTCTCTGCTTTTTAATATGCTGTCTAGGTTTGTCATAGCTTTTCTTCCAAGGAGTAAGCATCTTTTAATTTCATGGCTACAATCACCATCTGCAGTGATTTTGGAGCCCAGGAAAATAAAGTCTGTCACTGTTTCCATTGTTTCCCCATCTATTTGTCATGAAGTGATGGGACCAGATGCCATGATTTTAGTTTTTTTAATGTTGAGTTTTAATCCAGCCTTTTCACTCTCCTCTTTCACTTTCACCAAGAGGCTTTTTAGTTCCTCTTTGCTTTCTGCCATAAGGGTGGTATCATCTGCAGAGTCCCCAAGATGATAGCTAACAGCTAATGATGTTGAATTTGTGATCTCCAAAGAAGAAGATTTAGCTTCAGGATCAGGTACCAGGCTTAATCACTCAAAGCTTTTGTGTGGCACAAGTTTTATTATAGTGAAAAAGGACAGAAAAAGCTTCTGACATAGACATCAGAAGGGGGAGAGAGACTGTTCCACTCAGGTTCTTGTTAAGAAGAAAAAAATGTCCTTGAGCAAGATGCATTGTTATTATATAATCATGAGTACAGAGCTTAAGGAACAACATACCCTTGAGCAAGATGAGTTTTGTTGTGTAATCATTAGCTCTGGACTTAAAGAAAATAATGTCTTATGTGACTAAGACAAAACAATGTAGAAAAAAAAGTTCGTCCTTTTCTCCTTGAGAGCCCCATACCCCTTTCTTCTTCTCGAGGGCCCTGGACTCCTTATCAACCTACATAAGAATTACCTCTCTCATTCCCCCCTTCTTTTTCTAGAAGAACATGGCTGCCAAGGGAAAAGGGGTATTGCTCTCATTCTGTAGCTACTTCCTGCTGGCCAGGGGCACAGGCCCTAAATTGTTCTGGCAGCATATTCTCCTTACCCTCATATTGAGGGTCTCTGATCCAGGGACCCCAAGTATAGTTGGAGGAGGTTGTGGCATTCATAGGAGCTTAACAACCATTTGTAACATAAAAGCTTTCAGACTGTTAGAAACAAACCCCATTATACAGTTACCGATGTAAGGCAAAAGAGTCATTAAACCAAGTTAAAATATAATCAAAATTAAAAGTCACATTATGTTCATAGTTAAGGTACAATGTGTTATACCAGTCCATTTTAGGATTGTTAGATGTCATCAGATCAAGAAGAGGTGTCACATATGATTGTTGCTGGTGAAGGAATTCACAGAGTTGAAGAAGAAAGTCCTTTCCTTGAAACACAGAAACCCACCATGGGAATCTTTCAACTAATGAAAAAGGGAGTGCTGCACAGACCCAGCAATCAGACAGAGACAATTCTACTCTCCTGCCTTTGTGACCAATGACAAGCATTTATGAGCTGCCTGGTTGGAACAATCCATATGGCAAAGTATGAAATGAAATACTGAATGAAGAAAGCCAGGTCTTCAGACACAGCATAGTTTGCTCTAGATACCTATGGCATGCCACGGATGAATACTCTCTGTAGTAACTTACTCCAAAGTTGGGTGCTATCACTTTCTTCCTTCTCTGCCACCCATATCAGTTCCCTGTTGAGAGGTAAAGTCTATTTCTCTGCCTCTGTGAAGAGAGGTTAACAGGGGTTA